GTGGGCTAGCCCGCTTGGCCTGAGTTATCCAGTTTCATTGATGGACTGAGAGACAAGCTGCCGTGGAGCGCCAATGCGTCTTGTGGGGTAGTTCTTTCCTGCATAGTAAGTGGGCTGCAACTTATTATTTTCATGGTAGCGGAGCCTCAATTTCAATCATGAAAGAGAGAAGAAAGAACAAGGTGAATGTCATTTAATTAAACAAGTTACAATGTTTATTCGAAAAAAAAGGTGAATCATATGATATGAAAGAAGTGAAGCCCATACTTCACGAGATATACGCCCCTTACGTCCCCCCCCCCCCTCAACGCAAATGCCAGTGTACCATATGGGAAACGCCCATGGAGATAAAAAAAGAAAAGCAAACTGCACTTAAGCAGTTGACCCCCTTACAAAAAAGAGAATGGGGAACATGACGAGAAAGAGAAAGAAGCGAAATAGACATATCCATGTCCATGTTACACCATAAAACATATGAAAGAAACCCCTTAGCTCGTTACTCTCCTAACCCAAAGCGCACTTCCAGCAGCGTTTGGATCATCCTGCTCCCTCTTCTTCCACGCGCGATGCAACTTGAGTCCGACATCATGTTCCTCACGCCTAATATCATCTAGCTCGACCTCAAACGCCTTCTTCTTATGCTCCACCGCCTTCGCCTTCTTGAAATCCGTCAAGAGCGGGTTCGGAGGCGCGGCATTGTTGAGGTCAGTGAGAAGACGGTAGACATTGTTGCGGCGGATGCGGAGATCTTCTTGTTGGGATTCTAGAAGCGCAATGTGATCAAGGGCGCAGAGAGCAGTAGGTGGGTGCGGTAGCGCTTTAGATGTGTTGGACATGCCGCTTGCGGTGGAGAAGGTGGAGACGTTGGAGGGGGACAGCATTCTTGAGGCGTTGGGGCGGGAGTCTGGGATGCGGTCGGAGTGGGGGACGGGCCGGCGGCGCAGGAGGACTGAGGACGAGGCGGAAAGTGGGGGTGAAGGTGGTGGCGAATGTTGGTCGGACGTTATAGACTGGCTATATGTGCTCCAGGAAAATTGGCTGGCGATAGGTCGCTTGTCTGTCTCTGGTGGGGTTGCTGTCCGGTAAGCAGGGTGGATAGGTAGTTCGGTCTCGATTACAATGGCCGGGGACTGTTTCTGACCGTCGCGGCTTTTGGGCGTGACCGGGCTTGGGTAAGCAAATGCACTAATACCAAGGCCGTGGGCTGTGGGAGATGTTGGAGAAGTGAGACTGCTTCCTGCAGGCGACTTCTTTCCTACTTTTAGGGGCACAACGGGTTTAATGATTCCTTCATGCACCTCGTAGTTGGCGGTTTCGGCTGTGACGGGTCGAGTATCAGCAAGCGTGGGTGCTGAATCGACGGCAACGGTAAGCGTGTTTGATCTGACTTGGTCCGAGCTTGGTGATGTAGTCGCTCGTGGTATTTGCAACGACTTTTCTCCGGGTTGGTTTTTGACTACTGGTGGTGAACGCTTCGAGCCGAAACGGCTAAGACGCTCTCCAAAACTAAGGCTCTTCTTCTCAGGGCCAGCGGCGGACACCGAAACTTGGTAGCCCATGGGCTTGAGACCGGCAGAAGGCACGCCTACCGCATAGGTGTGCGGATCAACTGATGAGGCTTTTCCTGCACTGTTAGGCTCGCCCGAGTACTCGTCCCATTTTACTTTACTGTTTGGCGCAAGCTTGCCTTCCCAGAATTTTTGCTTGGGGCCAGACTGTACATCGCCAGTTCGAATGACGGAAGGTGCTCTGCGCAAGACGGGAATTGCCTTGACATCGCGCGGCTCGTCTTGCAGTTTCCGCTGGCTGTCGTCCATTGAGGAAAAGTCGCGGAGGGATATGTCACGGATAGACTGAGGCGGGTCAAAAGACGGGAGGAACTTTTCAGACTCTGGTGAACTTGGCGGGGATAGATCGTCGTAGTTGGACCGTAATGTGGCGGCAGGATTACCGTAATAGTAGTCTTCGATCGAGGCCCGCGAATAGACCGAAGGAATAGTCGGCACTGCCGACAGTCTTTGGACTGGAGGGAGGGTTGGCGGACCAGACGCTGTAGTGATGGTAGGGTTGGGTGAAGGCTTGGAGCTAGGGCAAGGCTGATTAGCACTGGATTAGGACGGAGCGATAGCTGAACGTACAGTGAATCTAGCGGGGGGAGCACATAGTTTTGTTGCTCGGGATCATGGAGGCCGGCGACATTTGGATTACGGTGGAGTTGATCCTGGTCATAAGTGGTTTCAAGCAGTACGGGGTGACCTATTTGCGCATGCTTTTCTTTCTCGCGGACGTGACCCTGTAATCGTTTCCACATTGTGATGATGCCTGCATGAAACATTTATTAGCCTTATGCAACGCTAGTCCGAGTACGCGTCAGAACACAGGGCAGTCATTTGCGTGCCGTTGTAGTATGATAGGTTTACATGATGTAATGTTATATTTAAACTTTGCAGCAAGCGAGTCAAAGTAGCAATAGGTATGAAAGCGACTTGTGCGGACGTCTTGGCAGGGCTGGATCCGGTGGGCGTTGTTCTAGTGAGTGCGGGAGATAGGCGAACGGCATGGCCTGTCGATCATAAAAAGATGGGGAGAATGGGATGACGACAAACGGGCCTGCAGGGTTGACGCGTCCTGGAAGAGGTGGCCATGGGTACAGAAGCGGCAAATTGGATGGCTGGCTGGCTCAGTGCTTCCGGAATGAGGACCGGAAGTAGACATGATGGTACAAGGCTGGTGGGTGAGGGGGGACATGGGGGGACAAAGGAAAGAGCAAGTGCAGAGATTGCAGTACATACCAATTGAAGATGTGGCAGGTCAGGATTGGATGAGTGGAAGATTGAGCGTGTTGACGTTGAATCTAGGATGAATGGAAAGGAGCAGGTTCAAGTGGGTGGCGGTGCCCTACTATTCTTCGTCGGCGCAATCTTGGTAAATGAAGGAGGGCGATCAGGTCGGTGCCGCAATGTAAAAATAGCGGCTTACTGAGCGCAAGACGATGGCAATGGCAGCAGCAGCAGGAGCGTCGTCTTGAAAGCGCCGAGGGACGCGCCCGAATGCTCTATCTCGTCGACAGACTGAATGGTTCGATGGCAGCGATGCGCTCTCTGACAATCGTCCAGAGGCGGCTTAGGCGGCTTAAGCGGGTGAGGCGGCGGGGACGAATCAGGGCAAGCCAAGAGAGGCCAAATGAATCCACGGCACGCGTTTCAGCGCCGGTGCGAGGCGGTTTCAGCCTCAGCCTCAGGCGCACAGGGCCAGGGCGCGCGTGCTCAGCTAACAAGTAAGTAGATATGTATAGCACAGGCAGATATTACACAACGAGCTGACGGGCCAGCATGGAGACGACGACAGGGCAGAGCGAGAGGAATCCTGATCTTGCACCGCCGGGGGCGACCGAGGGCTTATGAATGCGCCCCAGAGCCTCTACTGTCGCATGTCGACGCTCAGATGTCATCGAGGATGCATCCAAGAGCCCCTCACCCCCCTTTCACGGACAGCTGGCCGCCCGATGTGTGTCTGAAGAGAGAGCAAAGGGGCCAAAAACCAAGTCCAGCATTACGGGCGACAGGCAGCGCTGCTTGCTTTTGCACCGCCAAACAATGGTCGGGGTGAGTTGTCGGGATTCAAGAGAGTATGGTTAGCCGGATATTGCATCATTGCAACCACTAAACTCCCCACCTACCCGCCCGTTGCCGCTAGCCTAGCACGCCCATCACCTACACCATACCACCCAGTCTTCATTTTTTTTCCCCCACCACTTGCTTCCACTGCACTGCTTCCAAACATGGCAGACGGTATGTTCATCCATCAACGCTAGTCTTGACCCGCACGCACACTCACACCACAACCAGCACTCCCCTCGCCCATTCCCCAGCCCGAGGCAACTCACGCGTAAGCAACACATTTCTTCTTCCTCTTCTCCGTCCTCCCTTGCCAGACTGACCCCCTCGTCGCAGCGCCTCGGTCTTCACTCCAGTCAACCTTGTCCTCCTCTCGCTCTTCGGTGTTCTGGTCTACCTCCGTCTCAAGCCCTCGACTCCCCAGACTCTTCCGCGGGCTCCGCCCCCAACCGTTTTCCGCACCTTTACTCCGCCCTCGCTGTTTCCCTATAATGGCCTCAACAACATGCCAGTCTACCTAGCTGTCCGCGGACGTGTTTTTGACGTCACCCCTGGTCGCAACTTCTACGGCCCTGGTGGCCCCTACGCAAACTTTGCTGGCAGGGATGCCTCGAGAGGCCTGGCGTGCGGTAGCTTCGACGAGGATATGCTGACCAAGGACTTGGACGGCCCCCTCGACACTTTGGAGGGCTTGGATGATGAGCAGTTGGACGCACTACGAGGCTGGGAGGAGCGATTCAGTGAAAAGTACTTGGTTGTAGGCAAGCTGGTGCCCGTAGGCCACCCGGAGGCTGAGGAGGCCAAGGCTTAGGCTTAGGCACTTGCCAATGCGATACGACATTCCGTGCTACAACGGGTGGAAAAAAACAAGTAGGACAATTTACCGGGCTTCGAGAAACCCTCAGGCCATGACAGTTCTGACTCGGCCTGATCAAGCCAAGTACATACAGCAAGTCATAGACTGCTATCAAACACAAAATATAGATTTAGAAGAAGTTGCTGTTGCGAAAAGAAATGCTGAATTCATAAATCCCGGCCTGGATATCCTTCATTTCTACAAGAGTCGAGGCTATACCTGCTATCAAGATGTCAACGGGTGCCTATCGTCCACTCTCTAGCGGCAATGTTCCCAATGCGGGGTTCGCCCCGATAGGCAATCGCATCCCACCTCTTTCCATCTTTGCCTAATGACAATGGCGTCTATCGCGTGTACCGACTTCTCCCGGTTCTCGCTCTCTCTCAAACCCTATCTTATCCATAATGACGTGTTGCTGTCATGTCAATTGTACGCCCTGTGTGCTTGACATGCAACATACCAAACATTAACTCATTCAACCCCGCATGATTGCATGAGAACATCTTGGGACATACTGAACCATTACGATGAATCAACTAACTGCTGACCATTTTGTTGGATTGCTACCATGGTTCTTGCTACTGGTGCTCAGCATTGTTCTCTACTTCTGGAATAGCAAACGACCTGGCCAGAGTATTGGAGGCAAACAAGTACATCGCTCACATCCCTCACTGTGCATCATCCGCATAGCTAACTTCAACTCAGAATGTGCAGCCAGTTACGTCTGGCGAAAAGAACCCCTCTGGGAAAGAGCACTCGGAAGAGGCATACTACTCCATCGAGCCCCTCTCAGACTTTGATCTCGAGAAGACAGAACCGCTCCAACTGCGGCCATTCAAACCAAAGTATCACATGACCATGGGTATGTCTTTGTCATAACGCCCCCAGAAAACAGCAGATGTATTATTTGGATACCAGCCTGACATGGCTTTTCCCAGCCCTCGAAAACACGACACTTTCCGACCTCGTCGCCATGGACAAGACCTACCTGGAGCGTCTCGACATTCGCCGCCAAATAATTCAGGACCAACGGTCAGAAGTCATAGCCTGCGAACTGCAAGCCGTCCCCGCAGTCATGGAACTATACACATGGGCCATAGGAACCTACCTGCCCCGTCGATTCCCTTCCATCTACGGCATCGTCCACTCCACCACCAGCGAAGAGACAACATCCACCTACCTAAAAAACCACGCCACAAACACCCTCATCCCCCTTCAAGTCTCCTCCCCAGACCTCGCCCTCCAAATCCTCGGCGAAAACATCGACACCGAATTCCTCTTACTCCAAAAACAAGACAGTCCAAACTTCCAAACCCCAGAACCATACCGCCTAACGGCCTTCGTAAACTGCTTCCCCGCCGGCTTCTCCACCCTCTCCAAACTCGGCCTCTCCTTAGCCGCCATCCACGCCCCCGTCCCACACTACGCCGAGAAGTTGGAAAAGAGCATGGACCGCTACTTCTCCGCCCTTCCAGTGGGGAAAATCGTAAAGCGCGTGAATTGGAGCATTAGTACGACGGGTGACTTGTTTTGTCTCGCGGGCGCCCATATGAGTGAGAGTGAGCTCGAGACGCCGCGCGAACGCGAGCGACAGGAGGAGAGTGTAGATCTGGATAAGACGGTTGTGAGATGTGAGAGGCAGACGTTGCATCGCTTGCCGAGGACGGGGGCTTTGGTGTTTGGATTCAAGGTATGCTTGCTATCTCTTACACCCAAAGAAAAAAAAAGATGAGAAGTCAATAGTGCTGACGATTTTACTACAGACGTACATTTATCCCATCCAACAAATAAGAGACGAGGGAAACGGACACGTACTTGCTGAAGCAATCGATGGCCTAGGTCGCGGTACAGTACCCAAAATCACAGTGTACAAGCGACAAGTGGTCTGGGGCGAAAAGGTAAAGGCATTCTTGAGGGGAGAAATCAACGCTTGAATAGACCGCGCGTGCTTGTATATATGTACCTGACGAACCAAGATATCTCCCAGTCCCAGACTTGGATATATATGTCCCATGTTAATTGTTGATAAACACAATAAGAACACCTCTGCACACATGTTGCCTTTCATGCAAAAGGTCGTGCAGTAAAGGCACAAAAGTTAACCCACCCCCACCCACCCACTCCCATTGCTCATTCCTGCATCTAATTCATACCCAGACCCACTGACTCCACTCCCCATCGCCTTTCCTTATTCTCCAAGTAGTGTACCAAGGTTCGTCGATACACATACATCACCAGCCCGCCCCAAGAACTAGATCAATCAAACCCACACTCCCCCTTCGATACCAGATCCCCGCTGGCTTCCAACGCTAAAGCAAAGCCACGTACGCCCAAAAGAAGGAAAGAAGAAGAAGAAGAAAAAGCAAGTCAGCACACCCCATCCCACTTCCATCTTCCAATCCCAAAGCAAAGCATGCAAAAAAAGACCAACTTGCATACGTATATGTCTAGCTTTAGTGCAAGAAAAGTAGCCCTATTTTCCCCCACACTCACCCTCACCTCCGAATACCCGACGAGTTAACCGGGGTACCACGCTTCATCATGGGCGGCTTGACCACTGCCGATTTGCTCGGGACAGGAGGTTTAGCCGGGGCAGCCGTCTTACTGGCGAAGAATTTGTGCGCCAGCGCTTCCTTGGGCGTGAGACGCTTTTCCACGTTCATGTGCAAGGTTGCGCTTAGCAGGTCAGCTAGATCATTCAGCTCTGCGGCTGTGGGGCCGCCGTTTGAGATGTTGCGGGCGGCGTCGTGGACGCGGGTTTTCATGTCGCGGGGGATCTTCTTTTGTTGTTCAATTTTGCGGATGGAGAACTGTGTGGTTGGTTAGTTGTGGCTTTTCCTAGGGGCTAGGGTGTAGAGTACTTACCTTGTTGAATTGGTCGACTTCGCGGCTGATGAACTTCAGGGGTGGCCCGAGTTCGAAGTTGTCGAGAACGTTGTTGACGAGACCTTTCTTGAGTAGCTTCTCGCTTGGCCATCCCAAGCAGTCCATGAATGACTTGATCATTTGGTTGTTGGATCGCCCGGTGAAGAGAATCTTGCCGGTCCAGAGTTCGTACACTGTGCAGCCTACAGCCCACATATCAACGGGGTATCCTACGTCCATGCCAAGTATAATCTCGGGTGCACGGTAGAATCGACTGACAAGGTACTCTGTGCGTTCAATGACGTCTCGCTTGTCCACGGCGGTACCAAAATCGGCAAGCTTGATCGTCTTCTTGTCAGCAGAGACCAAAACGTTATCAGGTTTCAGATCAAGGTGAATGACTTGACAATTCTGCAAGTGCTGAAGACCAAGGAACATCTGGCGTGCATATATCCGCACCGCGGGGAGTGTCAGACCATGACCGTTGGTCTCCTCTTTCAGCAAATCTCGCAAATTCTTCGACATGTGCTCGAAGACTATGCACAAATGACCCTTATGATCAAACGAACCCAACAACCGAATGATATGGCGTTTGTCCTGAGGATCTGCTTCGTTGACTTTGCGCAAAAAGTCCATTTCCTTTTGACTGGCTCTCCGCATCAAGTCGTTGCGTCGAATCATCTTGATGGCGACAATCCTTGGACTGGCGTCTCCATTATCTGTTCCCACCTCTTCCGCTTGTGCGACATTGGCAAACACACCACGGCCAAGACCCTTGATCACTCGATAACGTCCACCATCTACCAACTCATTACTGATCAGCTTGTAATATCCCTCAGGATCGTCCCAGTTGTCCAGTAACTTTTCATCGAGAACGGTTCCTTTCGCAGCAACATTTGCCTCAGTTTCCACATCTTCGTCTTCGTCCTCATCATCATCAGACGCAAACATGTCGAATTCCTTCTTTTGTTTCTTGACAGGCGCCACCTTCTCAGCCGGCAAAGTCGAAAGATTCTTCGGGTCGGTCTCACGATATGCATCCGAAGAGACTTCGGCATTTTGGTTCTTCTGCGCTGCTCGATTCCGGTCGTCCAACATGTCCTGCATAGGGTCATAATCTGCTGCCGATGGACTCGCTGCCGCCGGGCTGTTTCCCTCGCTGAATTCTCCCTGCTTGTCAATCACCATAACGTCAGGTGATGCTGGTGCAGATTCAAAGTCGCCATTCCGGGGTGATGCAAAAGGAGATATGGGACTATCTGCAAATGCTGCTGGCGAAGCGTTGTTAGGCGTATTCGCTTCTGAAGCATTAGTGAGAATGGCTTGTTGCAAGAGGTTCTCTTTGCTCTTTTGTTGCTCAGTAGCAGCACGTATGGCAGCCCAACGACGGCGCTTCTCCTCGCGCGATTCCTGGGTAGGTACTTTGTCTTGGACAGGGGCTGGGGTGAAATCAGTGGTATCATCATCCATTTTCCTATTAACAATTGTCAGCATCCGTTAAAATACCGATTCAGTAAAGAACGTCCTTACATTTCAACATCTTCAGATACGCTAGCCTGTGCAACCGATATCTTCGCGCTCTCGGACGGTTTCTGCTGCTCCTGTTCATTTGGCCTGCGAGTCTTGGTTTGCTCCTGGTCTTTGTCTCGTGGGCTCTGACGATGGTTCTCTATGGGGAGTGCTTCGCGGAAGTTGGGGACTGGGTTAGGGTTCTCAACCTCGGCATATGAGATTGGCTTCGCATGCGATCTATCTATGACGTCTTTGCGCTCTCTTGCAAACGCTACTGGAGGCTGGCCTGTAGCCCGTCGAGGCTCACCGTGTCTGCTACGATCAGCATGGTAACGCTTGTCGGGACGACCGCGTGGCGGAGAAGCCTTGCGCTTGTAGCCCCGGGTATCACTGCCACTCTGTTCGGCTCGGCTCCGTCGATATGGCGATGGCGAGCGGTCGGCTGCACGGTTCTTCCGAAATGGCGAAGGCGATCGTGACGGGGTTCGCTTACGGCGATATGGCGAAGGAGAACGACTCCGGGCGCGGTATTTCTCATGAGCACCATCTAGTCCAAAGGACCTGTTTGAGCCGTTAATCGCAGATTCGTTGCGCGAGTTGACTGTGTTTGCCTTGTGTCGGGTGTCGGGGAGCTCGCCCTCTGAAGCGGAACTCGAGTGAGACATTCTGAAGATTTTCGCGCTGCTATGATGGCTTCAGAATGGAGATTCTGGGCGTCAGCTGGATTCTTGTTGACGAGAGGACTGAGTGTCTCTATCACTGACTGTGTAGCAGAGAAGTAGAGACAGGTGCGATTGCGCCAGAAAAGCGAGGACAGACGCGCTGGTGAATGAGGAACTCGTTAGGGTCTTGTCGCGACTGGATGCGCGATCAGCGGGGAAAGTGCCCTTCAAGTTGGAGCTTGAGATATTACCTAAGCAAGCCACGTGAAACTGATGGCTGATGAGCTGATGAACCGGTAAGCCGGATTTCTGACCAATCGCAGAGGCAAAGTCACATGACCTGGGCTGTACCACCTCAATCTGGGACATCATTCATCTTGGATATTGTGCCTCGAAACAGATTAAGCGTATTTGCCAGAGATGTAACAACATCTGTTCCCAATGTCGGTAAAATCCTAAAAGAATGTAAATTAATTCTGCAGGACTGGAGATAAGTTGCCGTGTTTCAAGAGGTGAGATGTCAGCAATAACACGCCCTTTTTAGCAACACCAATATCCAAACGTTCTAAATACGCAATGCGGGAACTATAAGGTTCAACCCTAGGAAATTAGTTCCTTGAAGGGGCGCCTGCGACCATTCGGCCTACTCTTGCCGTCGATTATCCATTGCGAATATGCTCTGACCCCTTTCGTGGCCCATTGATCCTCAATGATGCCTTTCACAAACTCCTACCTACGGTAAATTCGAGTTAAGGGGTTGAGCCTGATTGTTGAAGTTCAAGTCACTTAGAACATCTGATAAATTGATCGGCTGACACTCTTGCAACAAGAGCTGGCAGTGCTATATCTGTTGCTGTAGAACTTTGTGATCCAAATGGAACTCGGAACTGGCGAAAAGCCGAACGGACCCTTGACTAGATAGAACATGTCGAACATGGGGCCTTCACACTCCTGAGCTTATTGTGTTTAGTACCCAGAAGTGGTGAGTCCCACGTGCTCATTCCCCATTGTGTGTTGTATGTGGGGTTTAGATAGGAGTTCCACGGCGGAGATTGCGTGATCCACAGGTTCATGGAAAGCCTTGCTCTGGTGGAGGACACATGACACTGTTTTTCTTATGCGGCGGGGTGATCAGGAGAGAGAGTTGCCGTGTTTCTTTGGGAATAGTGAAGGAAATGTCGGGAGCCAAGGATATTTCTGGTGTGATGTGGAGATGTCTGCTAGAAAGGGTCGATGGATCCGTGATGCACATTATGCTGACAGCAGAGCCCCACACGTAGCATGTCAAAAAGGGAAACTCGATGCTGAGCTGATGTGATGAAGTCTTGGTAACGTATAGATTGGCATTCTTTGTTGAGGCATTAATCCACCGATTTATACGGTTTACAATAAATATCTTGAAGCAAATTCATAATGCGAGGTCGGCACAGCTGTTTTATCAATATAACAAGCCGGAGTAACAATTGTTACTTTCTTGGCGAACGTGATTGCCGTGCCATCGGTATACGCTACCACCAATCGCTTTACGCTTAGGAGAGCTGAGCAGATCTCGATTATCGCGGGATCAGTGATTAAGATATACGTAGTAATTAAACACATTACTTAGAGTTTGCCACTTGGATATGCTGACGATTGCAACGGAAAATGCTGCTGCACGCGATCACGACATATGCGAGTAAGAAATCATCCCAAAGGTGGTGGCCCATGAATCAGTAACCGCAACACTTACTGCGCTTCTCTGCAGCAGATCAGCACTTCATCGTCTACCCATGCGTTTCACGTTCAAGATCTCCATGCTGCAGTGAGGCGCAGCACTCGTGTACCCTACATGGTCCCACTGCTTGTAGCCCTTCCAAAAAAAAAGGGCAAACGCCGGAAATATTTTAGTAGCACGAGTGACGTACCTGGTTTATAGTTTGCTACTACAGCTTGTTAGTCGGTCTGCACAGCCACCTTGGTCCATATAACCAGGGTGGCAACTAGAGATCAGCAGTAAGTGTGCAGCGGGAGTCTATTGTAGGGGATCGTCGGGGGAAGCGGGTAGGATAGGGTGCCAAGTTAGAGATTGCGGTTAAAGCGCGTGATGAGCGGTTTCACGACCACCTCAATGGGAAAAACGAATGAATGGAGAAAAAAAAGATTAAGACAGGGTCTAGAAAGAAGGATCATCATAGGATTAGTTGTAAGAGTAGTGCATAGAAGTGATAGTCGTAGTCCAGGCTGGACACTGGCCGTTACCCCGCCCTTACAAATCTCTTAGGAATTCTTATCAATCGTGTTAGTTTAACGAAACACAATAGGCGGTGAAGTTATATCAAGTACAATCCATGTGCAATGCTTAGGGAGCTGCAAGGACTCGAGAAGTGATGGTGCGTGCATGTGCACGTGACTCTTAGTTGCCGAGGCCTAAGGAAATGCTTGGAGAATTGACATGGGTTAGCCGGGTGGTACTTGTATCTAAACATGGTGTACATAGCATGTAGGTAAGCACCTTCATGACTCCGGACCACAGTCTAGTATTAGTACATATGTGACGAACCCCCTAATTCTTTGTCGACTACTACTAGTTGTCTGTCGGTTAGAGATGTTCCATGCGCGCGGTCCGTTAATGAACCAATGGACCCAACTCCCAAAGCGTGTGCGTGTGCTAAATTTGAGTCTGTGAAGTCGGTGACATGATTGCGAGGCTAGTTGGGGTATTATGTGGAGATCTCAATGGAACCATCGCCACCAGACAGCTGGGTCGCGAAAAAACCGGAGTGTAACATGCCGTAGAGGGATATGACCGACAGTAGTTGAATGTGCCCACTAAATAGACTCTCCGTCGGACGGCAAGAAAAGTCACTGTGTCTTCGAGGCAAGCCGGAGTAATGGAAGTTGAGGATACAGATACTGGTCCGGTGAACATAGATGGGTGTAAGTACTTAGTGTTGTTGTCGAAACCCGCGTCCCCCTAGCAGAAAAGGACGCCTCCGCGGTCCCGTACCCGATGGTGGTTGCCAAAACTGGATAGCCGGCGCCTCCCCCCGTATCCGGCGATCATCCGCAATTGAGATTCGCGAGCCAATCCATGCTACACACTCATGACCAGCGACGTTGGATCAACCCGAACCCGAACAGCGCGCAACACTCAGCAGCGCTCACGCACACGGAGGGGAGTCGTCCAAGAGGCATTTTTGACAGTTTGTAAGACCGGACGAAGACTTTTACCGGGCGTCCGGAGGAAGCGGATTCCAATAATGCACACTCAATGTCGATACTCGGAGCATTGGCAGAAACAAGCCATGCCGAAGCATTGTGTTCGGGCGCGCACACCCACACATGGCTGTATCAAAACCTTAGATAATGGAGACCCGCGCAGCGCCAATAAGGCGACAAATAGGATGAGGTACAATGCATGCTATTGCAGTAGCCCTTTATTTGACGCGAAGTGCCAGGATGTCAGAGAAGCAAGTAAAACACGTGGTTCTTGAGCGACCATTGGCAAGTTTGCATGGTGAGGTGCGCTAGAAGAAAGGCATTGCCGTGGCGTGTGTGGGTGGTAGTTTGTGCGGCGAAGGGGCTAGGAGGCGCTGGGCGAATGGCGGTGGGCAAATCCGATGGCAAGTCCCATATAGTACAAACATAGTAAGTTACATATGGATAATACGTATGCACAAGACACTTCTGGAATGCTTGTCGTGGGTGGTGAGGCGGCGAGGGCCGAAAACTATCGGACAAGCAGATGCTTACTGCGTCCTACTACGTATTTAGTTTTTTGACGTGACCCTGACGCTAAAGGCGGCGTGTCCAAGCCGGCCAATTGTTGATAGGCGGAGGCGAAGCCCGTAGACTGTGAGACGCTGAGTCGTGGTGGTGGAAACGGCAGAGGGCGACGGAGACCCTGGTAGACCACGTGCCGAACTGTCGGGTTGCGGTGGCTAACCGGCGGCAAGGTCTGCAAGATGAGCAAGATGGCGTACGGTCTCGACCTCGATCCATCTGCCATGTCAAAAGGACTAGGTTTTGGAAGTGGTGAGCCCGTTATGGCGTACGTCATTGACCGGCCAAAGACGGCCATACGACGCGACGAGATTTCATATTGTTGCGCCTGGCTTGGAATGTGCTGATCGCTTGGTTCACGAGGCCATGCCAAGTCACTTCCTGGCAGGCGGAGAGTCCTTGTTGTGCATGCATAGTACTGTCTAAATGTGTGTTGTATGGACTACATAGATGGAATTTTCTGTATGGTGAGGTGTAATGCATGTGTGCCGGTTAGGGGACTTTGTTAGGCAGCGAGGGAGCGGCGATGCACGAGAGGGTGGGCTGCAGATCAGAGCGGGAGGGCGAATCTAGGCGGGCTGATGCATGCAAATTACATACTTAGACGGTGGCAGAGCATTGTTTCTGCCTCTGTTTGGCTGGGCTGCAATCGCTGGGCAGGAGAGGGAGAGGGAGAGCAGGGCATGACGTTCTCCCAGTGGCTGCCGGCAAAGGGGAACGTGAGCGGACAAGGTCCAAGTTGAGGGCGCCCTGCATATGGGGGCCAGACTAGAGAGGCATGAAGGGTGCTGAGGGTTATTGACGGCATGCGGATATGTAAGTATAGACAATGGGGTAGGTGGTATACGAGCAGCTCCAATTCGTGCACTCGTCGACTGAATTGGAGTAGTGGAGTGTGGGGGACGGCGCGGGCCCCCAGCGCCCTGGTGGTTTAGAGGATGCAGTCTGCCCGAGCATCTACGCAGGCCAACCGGGCCACCCTCCGCCACACCAGGACATGTCGTCTGCCTGGTGCTTGGCCAAGGATAGACTTGTGGGGGGAAGCTTGAGTTTGCGTTTGTCGGGGGGTGGATATGGATGGATGGGGGATGATTACTCTACAACACCTAGTAAGTACACCTAGACAAGCAGATGGAGTTCCGTCGCGTGCATGCTTGTTCCCCGACGCAGCTCGTCGGCGCATGCGCACGGGCGGTCAAATGATCGGGGACTCAGGCTTGGGTTCACGTCTAAGGGCGGGAAGGCCATCAGACGTGGCTAGAGCCATGTGCCTAAGAGACGCTCTGTCGTCGACGACTGGCACCCATCTACACCTAGCACTCTCTCCTATGTGCGCCATGTATCGGCAACCAATAGCAAGCACTGCATTCACTATCTTGTAGGGGTTAATATGCCTTGTTGGGTAAAGCGTGCGTCGTCAACGTCGAAGCACGCTGCTGCTCCATGGGCCTCAGCAGACACAAGGGCGACGGCGACAGCTCTCCGCATGTGCCTGTCGTCGTCGACGAGGAGGGCAGACGGCGAGCATGCTGTAATTCACCGAAGCAGTACGGAGTAGTTAGCAGCCCAGCCTTGGCAGACATACCGTTTTTCTTGACTCCTGGCGCCAACGGGCACGTCGTCTTCAAGGCCCAGGATGCCAAGGGAGGTGTGCGGAGGTTTTTCACCCAATCTCTAGCCAAGCTACCAAGGCGCTTTCATCCGGCTTCTGGGGGCAGCGTCATGCCCATGGCTATGCCCATGGTGTAGCTCCGTGGTGGCGCTCCATGCCCTAATGCACGGGCGGGAGACCATGTTCCTGCACCCATCCAGCTAGTAGGTGCCTCGCCGTCGAAGCAGAAGCCTTTGGTCTGCCATGGCCGTGCAACGTCGGTCTGCTTCCTATGCCACCCGAGCGTAGCCATGACCCGTCGCCAATTCACCCTCGACAAACTCAAAATATACGTCATGCACTACTGGAGCCTTGGTCCTCCCAGAGCATACCGCACCCCTCCCAGGCCACATCCTGGGAACGCGCTTCAACGAGGCGGCGCAGCCAACAACTTCTGCGAGCCATCGGGCCGATTGCAGATTGCAGTCTTCTGGCACCCATCAAATCAAGGTAGTGGTAGCGCTAGGTGTCGTGGGGCCAAGTCCAAATAGGACGAAGAGACGAGGAAAAACAAAATACCGTCAAAGTGCCATTGAGCACACCGTGTCCAAACACAGGCACACATATGTACCTAAGTACATAACAGATACGAGAGTGTATGTATAGTCTGGTCGCGGTCTCGGATGTGCTGGGAAAAAAAAGACGCATTCAGATGATCTACCGCACGTCACTGCGCCAATGTCAAGGCAAGGCGGCGATCGACGAGCTGGGCTGGAAAGGCGTGACCTAATCGTACCTACCTATGTAGTATATCTGGATGTATCTATCAGTACTGTAACAAAGGAGGGGGGGAGGCGTAGGGAACGAGAGGAGAGAGAAATAAAAAAAAGGGTCCGGCCTATTTCTCAAGTCAATGGGCTTCATGATGCACATGGCGAGTCGCGGACCAGCCGCGCACACATGGCAAATCCAACGCCATCAGAAGCGGTTCCAAGGGGGGCCCATGGGCCATGATGTCGCAAGACATTCGCGTTCGCTTCGCAAGCTTGTGGCAGTATCTGTTTAGGAGCGGCGGTTCTAGCCTAGTCGCAGAGCGCAGCCGGCTAACCCGATTTTCCCCACGGTGGTAGGGTGTGTGTGGTGCGCTAGACGGCTAGGTCGAGCTGCATCGGCAGGCTGTTGTGTCTAGGTGGGCGCCTTTGAAACTTCGTTCCAGCTCTGCGTGCTTGTCTGTCAGCAGTTCCCCATAGGAGGTTGCCGGCCACTAATGAACCTCTCAGGCCCAGTGCCCCAGCGCAAGATATACAGAGTTAATGCCCAAAGTGCATGACCCGTCTTTCTCTGCACTGCACATGAAGTCCCTACTGGCAAATCCTTCTTGTCCACCAACCAGCCAGCCAACCACCACCCCAACTCCGACATAGCTCCTTCTGTTCAAGCTGCAGCACCGAGACATGCTCGCATTCATGCCTGCACAACCCTCGACATCTTCTTCGGGTACGTCGGCTCTCAGCCAGCCAGCCTGCCTATCTGCAGCCCGCCAACAGGCCACTGAAGCTCCACCGCTGACATGCTGCACAGGAATAAATTACTGGTATGGCAGCGGAAGTCTGCCAGACACCCTCCAAGGTCTTCCCCAAACAGCATCCAACCCACGCTTGATGCGCCGTGCCTCGGACGCTGTTGCACAAGCAGCGGGAATCCAAATGTGAGTGCACATATCACCAGTCTTTTTTGTCCAACAGTCCCGGAGGACCCCTCTCCCTCAGCCGGTGTGTGTGTGTGCGTGTGTATATGGATATGTGTATGTTGGTACACATCCATCGGTGCGAGTGTGCATATGTGTGTATGGATATACATACGTACGTACGCGGTAGGCACGGTGCAGCTCATCGGTCTCTGCTCCGGTCTGGTCTGGCAACCAAAACCCTCTGTCTCGTCGACTGCCCGTACTCTCCGCCTCGTGGGTCGCCATTGTCGCCGACACATTCGCCTTCAGACCCGACCCAGGATCCAAACCGCCATTGTCTACCAGTACGGAGCAGACAGCTCCGAAGTCCCGTCACGATCCGGAGATGCCAAGGGCGACATGAAAATCGCGAAGCTCTGTTCCAACGATCATCCTCTTCTGTTTCGGCAAGGATCGGCGGCACCATCTTACATCCTCGTGTCGTCTGCTTGTCCTCGGCAACTGGACTGCTCACTGAGACGGAGAGAAAAAATCACACCATTCAAAGGCTTACAATTACCGCAAAGGTAATTTGATAGACCTGTCTGCTGGCTGCGCCGTGACCATGACACGTCCATGCCCACTTGTCTCGGGATTTTCATCGGCATTCGTTTCGGAAGACGAGACCTGGGCACCGTGTGCGCGGGGTCCAACGCACCATCGATAGTGCGCATATCAGCGCAAACCTAGCCGACAACAGGCGCAGGCACAGGCGGGATGCGCTCGCCTACCAAAGGAGCACAGAGGCATCTCATGTCACCACTTTTTGTTCGAGGACCGTGAATTTGCTAACAGCTCATTAGCCAGGACTCGTCTGAATGGGACGAAGGCCAAGTTCCACTCCATCTCGACAACAGCCAACAGACCAATCTTGTGATTCGACCCCCGGCAGCGTCCGCCGCTGCGAACCACAAAGCCCCGCTGGCACCCAAGCAAGGCCTTGGGGGCGCCCTGGCAAACGCTCGAGGCCAGCACCATTCGCCCATTGCCGGCACCTATGCACTGCGGACTCCCCGTGGTAAAATCACGTCCATAGCGTGCGAGAGCTGCAGGAAGCGAAAGTCAAAGGTTCGTCCCAGATTGTACCCCCAATTGACCTGCTAGCGGGCCAGCTAACACGTCTTTTTTTGTTAAAAAAAAGTGTGATGGTGTCCGACCAAAATGCAACACCTGTCAGTCAAAGAACCTCACGTGCGTGTACGATGTCGCAGAAGACGGTAAGACAACGACGCAGCTGCGCGCCCACGTACGGCGACTGGCCAAGGAGCTAGAGGACATGAAGTCAATTATTTCCCTGCTTGCTATGACACCAGATCGTGCGTTGGCAGCAAGCTGGGCAGCAGAGATTGAGAAGAATGGATTCGCCCATCATTCCGCCGACGATGTCAGAAAGGCACTTTCAGGACCCATGGCGGGGGATCCACATGAGCCGCTTCTGGGATCAAACCACGAGTCCTTGGCAGGTCCGACACCAGCTCTTCCAGAAGGCGACTCGTTCGGAACGCCTGGTAGCGAGGCCTTTGCTACCGCTCCCCACCACATGGGTGCCTCGCCGTATGGCGAGTCCTCTCGGGAAGACAGGTAATTGCTTACCCGCGCTACAAGTGAACCAAACGCTGACCCAAACCCCCAAGCCGAGCACAAAGTCATTCGTCATTGGTCTTTTCGCATGACGCAACCCCGGTTGATGGCACGGTAGCGATGAACCCACCGCCGATGACACTCGAAGACTCAACAAACGCACTGAGCAAGTTCAGTTTCGACTGCGCATTTTACCGGAGGACGAAGCGGGATCTCCTTGCCAACGGGTGGAGTGAGGTGCAAATATTTGGCCGATGTGAAATTGACGTGGATACTCTGTTGCTTGGCTTCATGGACCTGCAAGATGCACAGCCAGTTTCGACATGGTGTGCAAGGGCTTGCAACAGAATACTGCCAACAGCGTCTCTTCCAGTCCGGCTTGCGGCCACTTGGCTCCTTACAAAGTTGATGCGGGTAAGTGCTGAAATGGCCTTTTTCGCAAGGGACCGTGTCTGATCCAATCTCCAGTATCTCATCTGGCCGAGTGCCGAGAATATGAACGGGAACCCGGACTGGATGATGCCGACAATGGGAAAGCAGGAAAATTCGCCGTACGACATGCTGATCGACCTTGTTCCATGGTATGTTGTACCCCAGCTCTTTCTCCCATCCACGATATTTGGCCTGCTCTTTCTCCCACCATAAAATCGACTTTGCTTTTTTCCATCCTTGGTATCTGTCCATGCTAACGTTTTCGTCCAGGCCTCAGGTACGACAGTTGCTATACCAACACCCCCAGGAATTCTCAGTTAGCCACTTCATTAGCCAAATTGGCATCAAATGGCCACATGCCGACGACGCATGCCACTACTGGGACATTGAGGCTGGATACTCACGAATGACTCCCCTTTTCGAAAGCACCATTACCGAGTTGGCCAACTGGACCATTGACCCCAAGATTCTCAAAATCATGCCGCAGCTCGAAGGCAACATTCCCACTCGGCCGTACTCATAAAGCTGCGTAGCGTTTTCCCAAGACTCGGTCGTAGTGGCGTGTTTTATTTTAGCGGAACGTTTTTTTGCTCAAACGAGTGCATCATTTGCATAACTGGATTTCGCATGTCTGGAGGAATTTCCGGGTTGTCTTTTCCCATGCTCCTCCTCCTCCTCCCACTTTGCCCTGGTTCCGGAGGGTGGGTGCGTGTATAATATCTGAGTAGTAGTAGTAGTGAAAGCGGTTAGAAAGCTTTCAGGTGAACTCGGGCTGGTGTTTGTTTCCCGCCAACAGCAAAGTCGCATTGGGTTGTTTTGAGGAACCATTATGTCGCATAGTAACCAAGGTGTTAGGGAGAAAGCCGGATGCTTTTCTTGTTGTTGTAACCCTTCTTTTAACTTGCTTGTGCCATTGTCTTATGGAGTTTTTTTTTGGGGGGGGGAGGGCGGTTAGACGGAGAGAGTGTGAGAAGGGTTTTTGGTGGGAGTGGAGGACCAAAAAAAATCCCTTTTGAAACCTAAAAAATGAAAAAATCTCGCAAATTAAAGGGATCCCCCCCTTCTCTTGGATGCTTTGTAGTAATGAGAGCAAAACCGTTGGCGTTGCTTGGTTTTGTAATGCCGAATGGGTTTGCTGTGATCGGTGAGCGCGCGCGCATTTTTCGGATCGGGAATACCATTTAAAAAACGCCATGGTCATGCACCCATCGTGCAATCCCCCCTGTTTAGTACGACCATTTTCGATGGCCCCCCATTTGCAAACACAAAAAATCCATGTAGAAAATGGACCTTTGCTAAACAAAGAGGGAAACAAAATGGTTCAAAAAATCCGAACCAGCCCGATTTCCTTCACCCCGTTCCTATTATGTACTTACAAACCGCTCCTCGGGAGCGGGAAAGAAGCACAACCGGGACGAGGGGACGTGTGCAAACCGGCCAACCACCCACGGCGGGTGCGGGCAAGCGCCGCACCACAGCAGCGCTGTCAATTCCACGGATATCTTACTTGACCTACTTTCCACATTACTCATCTTTGGTTTTCTAGCGTTGCGCGTGCGCGCGCAATTTGCACAACTTTTTTCTTTACTCCACTCTCTTTCTTTAAAACTTGGTGGCGTCCTTTTTTCTCCAAGTCCAACTTTCATGGCAAGTGCCGTGGTATCCACTCTTTTACTTGGCGCGCACGCGCGCTGCGTTGTGTGAGTGGGGATGGGAGTGGGGAGGGTTGGTATGTTGCCAAGGTGGGTGTGTCGGATGGAGTGTCCCGGCATGTGTGCTGTGTGTGCTGCGTGCTGCGTGTGTACGGTGCGGTGCGGCGATCGGGGGTGTGTGACGCAAGAGGTGCGTTTGAGTGGATGTGGGTTGTTTTGATGGGTATCGTCATTGCGGGTTTGTATGTGTTTTGTTGTTACTGTTGTTGATGTTTTGGTCCTGTTGTTTTTGCTGGGCAGGAGGGATATGATGAGCATTATATGTAATAATGGTCCTTTGCTTTTTCTAGGCGGTTGGCTTACACTACTCAGCACGCGGCGCTACGAATAGAACATACATGGATAAGTAGGTTTGTAATCGCTTTTTTGGCTCTGCCTTTTTGCTCTTGCTTTCCTCTGCTCCATTTTTTTCTGGGGCGTGGCGGGACGGAGGATACGTTGTGGCTTGAGCAGCTTTTTAAGTGGGTACCCCTTGCGCGTGGACATATCTGTGGCTTGCGGTGCTGGCTTGGCTGTTGTTCTAGACGTATGTGAAGGACTGAGGGACACAGCAGGAGTATGTGTGTGATGGGCTTTGTATCAGGCGAGGTTCCTGTTGCTCTTGTAGCTTTTCATCCAGGGTCTAGGCTAGCTTCATCGACTGGCCAAGTCTGGATTCATCTTTTTCCTATTTTCCCACTTTTCCGCCTTTTGGGGTGATCCTTTCGCAATTCCTGATTCGGCAATTTTGGTATCTCGACTCTATTTGCCGTAAGGGAGATGAGTGGGGACAGCCACGGCGACGTCCCCACTACCTATGTTGCGCTGTACGTGATGCATTCGGCCCACTTCTCTTGCTATTGTAATTCCCTATCAGGCAACTATTTCGTTTATGCAGCCATCCCATGTTATGGGGTCGCTCATCGTCGAATGCTTGCAGTGACGTGCAGACTGGGTCGTGTTCGGGAATAAGACCTGCCTTTGTATCCCTGCCCTGGTTCTTGGTTATGAACAGTTGACACTGGTCCGCGGAGAGGTATGAGGTATTTGAGGCTGAGATTGAACGGCGCGCGAGTCTCGGACTAAATAAAGCGCCCTCAGTTATGCCGTAGCACTTGTTTAGAGGTGCGATATTTACCATACCATTGCCCTATCCGGATCTAGGGTAGCTTCGGGGGTATTTTTTGGCCCGCATAGTTTCCGACGCGGCATTGCCAGTGGAGTGTTTTTACCTAGTCCTCCGAGCTGAAGTCTTGGTATGCGGTCGGTCGCACAAAGGTGGAGAGATAATATATTTTGGCGGGAAGGTAAGGCGAAGGGTTTCTTAGTCGGACACAGGCAGAATAGCTATATTTTTCCAGCTTGGAGGAGGAAGGAACGACATTCTCGCTGCGCTGTGATTGGGAAGGTGGCACGAACCAGCTTCATAAATGAACGCTTTTCTTGGGTCAAGCTGGCAGCATGGCCGCGTTACATGCGTCTGCTTTGAACAGACCTACCTTGACTGCTTCCGTTCCAGCCACTTAATACAACTCCTAGGGAAAAGGACCACATGAGCAAACCACCAATTATCAAGCGACGTTTCGAATACCGAGTCAGCCAAAGGGTCGAGGTCAAACTCCGACTTGCTCTCTTATCTACATGTCACTCTGCATGAAAGGCGTGTGTCGTCCTTGCGATGCAACTCGTCACCGCATCTGGATCGAATAAGATATGTCGGATGTAATGGCCGATTGGTTTAGTCAGACCTCAGGCTGCCTAGGCAGGCTGGATCATGCTTATGCTTATGCGCGAGGCTGAAATAGCTAGAAATCCTCCTGTGACTCGCATACATGTCCCACAGCCATGGATTGTGCGTCGTGCTTTAGCTCTGCTCCACTGTGGGGAGCCTGAGACGAGCTGGAATGTCGTGCAGCGGAGTGCGGATCCCCGTCCTACATGGGGGTTGTGCGTGTGCGTGTTTCGTCACGTACATACGTAGACCAAGCCCCTCGCAGATCCATCATCACCATTGGTCATTCCACCACTGGATTTAGCCTCACTTGTACATGGACGAACTGTCACGATCGTCTGACATGTTGTTGGCTTCGTATTCATGGATACGTGGCTTGATATTGCATCCTAATGGCGTTTTGTTTATCTAAAAGTCCACCCTAGGGACCACCACTGCCCGGGCATCAGCATACTGTTCTTTTCCTCACCGCCCACACACCTTCCACCTACAGGACCATGACAATCAAGACAGACTATGCATGATGCTCGCTTGTCGCTAACACCATTCAGCTCAAATGCAGGCTACACAAAACTTATGCTCTAGAATACCACGGTTACATATGCTAGGCTAGTCAAGTTGGGTTGAGGTAGGGCCTACTATTGAGACCGACACAGAGAGTGTCTTTTGGGCAAAAGAGAAACGAAAGATTGTATCGTGAACAGAACGTTTTTCAGGTATCAAGGTATTGTATTTGTTTAGCTATAACGAAGTCAAGGGTATCATAAGCACAAAGGAAATATTCAGCAACGAACGCAGCCTTGCTGCCGTAAGTATAGACTGCACAATCGCAAAGTCTGCATGTGCGCCTCAGGCCAAGAGAGGTGTCTAAAGAAGATCATCAACCATTACAACTTTTCCATCCACACTCGTACCGTTGGTGTGTCCACATAGGTCCCAAGTGCGCTCAATCCCATTTCCGTCTTGGTCGCCCCTGCCGCCTATCAAGTCTTCCATCTCCGTCACCCATGCCGTGCGCCCAGAGGCGCATCGATCGGGCTGCAGTTCATAGTTGAGTTTGCTCCTCAAGTCGCCGATGTATGATCCAAACACCGTCTCCACGATGATCTCATCCTCTGGATCAATCACGCGGACCATCATGCCAGCTTCCTTCCTTGCAGCCAAGATGCGCGATTGCGCTGCGATGCGTGATCGCATGGGCGTAAGAATGGTACCGATTGCGGCATTTGTGGCGGGAAGCCCATATCTTGGTAAGCTCACCACAGAGTCGACGCGTGTCTCTGACCCCACAGCACAGCTGAACATTCCGTCTTCCCGAACCGAGGTAGAAACGGATTCATCCAATGGAAGACTGGTTGAACTAGTGGCACGAGGTGCGAGAGCAAGTTGGGAAATATCAGCCAGCAGAAGTGCTGTGGCGAGCGGCTTACATAGTGACTGGATGGTGCCTTGGGGATCGTGAGGAATGCGGACGTGGCAGAGGGATGGGAACCCATTGTTCATGATACTAGCTGCAAGTATAGAGGTGGCAGTGCAGCAGTTTGGCTCGGGATTTATTGATGGAGATGTTGGTGAGTCGTGTGATTCGAAAGTGAAGGCAGAAAGAGAACTAGCCTCAGATCGAAACTCCCAGTGAAGGTAGCGAAGCGATGGTGAATGAAAAACGGGTGTTGAATCATGTTCTCGTAGTACAGGCGCCTTGTTTTGGACCAAAGAGAATTCTTCTAGGCCAGCTAGAAAAGGCGACAGGATATCAGCTAGTGTATGAACGCTGATTTCCATGCCAACCAGTGTCAATTTCTGGATCGAGGTCGCTTGTGGCGATGTTACGAAGCGCTGAATACCCCTCTCTGTAATGCCAGGAAGCTCCTCGAGACGAAGACTTCGGAGGTTTGTTGGTAAAGCGTTCAATACCATGTTTGTGAATGAAGTTGCGGGTAGCCCGCGTATCGATAGATGACGTAGCTGTGGAAAGCTTCGAAGTGTGCCGACAATGGCTCGGAAGTTGAGGGGCGATGACGAGTTGTTTGGTCCCTGATGCAAGACCAGAGTAGAGAGCTCGGGGTGATTGGAATTCAAGTCAAGAAAATGTTCGGTGGGGTCGCATTCGACAATGTAGTGACCCCTCATCTCGTCTTCGTCTTCCTCGTTAAGTTCGTTCTCAGCATTACCCAGTATCCACGTCCGCTCCTTGAGGTTCGATCGGGTCGATAGCGCATACGATAGCCGGTCGAAAGCATTTGTGAAGGGAACGTGGAAGCCAACAAGGCGTTCCAGACGTGGGCATGCCATGACCAGCGACGCCACCAAATTCAGAATCTCCTCTTTCTCGATGGTAGCGTTCTGGTACAAGTTCTGGAAGGCCGGAAGATGCAACTCCTTTACCTGCTCAGCAAGGGTGGAGCTCTCGCGAAGAGTCCTTCGAAGTAGCTTTAGTCGACTGGTCCCCTTTATCTTCAGCCTCGGATGCGCTCCATGCTCTTCATTAGCCAGCACCAGTGCCTTCCGGTACATTGCTGCACTTGCAGCTTTCCCCCACGCCCGACTAGTAAGGGAGAGGCTATGGAGATCTTTTAGATAGCATGTTGCGCATGCTCCCTCTTGGTCCATGTGGATTGGACCTAATTGCGCAACGATACAGTCATAGACTTCTCTAGGCAGGCTCTTGTGGAAATACCCTGGCATTTGATATCCAACGTCCGAGTCAACTCTAGAGTGTTGAAATTGCCGTGATGTATGGCTAGAGAAAATAGAGCGACGGTCACTATATGAGGTTTCGTCCGAAAAGTGTGGTCCAGTGGCTTTGATGACTGAGTGCCTAGGTGTCCGCACAACTACCTGTGGAATTGCTACGGAGCGTAGAGTGCTCGAAGCCCGTCTCTTGAAGCCATTGATTATTCGTGGACGGGATGGTTCGCATCTACATGGAGATTAGTGGACATGTTTGGGATTAAAAAAAATGTAGCGGCTACGAGCACAATGGTCGAGTACGGACGAGACTGTTGGCATCCCCTTGGAAGCGTCTGCTCATGTTCTACATGAAACCATCGTCTGCACTGAAGCGTTCAAACTCGGCGCTATCTACTCCTACTTACAAATCAACAGAGTCTTTCTCTGGTCTTTCTTTTCGGGATTTCGACAAGCGGAACATGATAATGTTATCTTGGGCTGGTACTGAGATCACAAAGCGAGAGTGGCGAAAATGTCATCACAAATCCCGAGTACAAGCGCCAGTTTTGTACATTGGGGGGAAGATAAGGATAGACGAAACAAAGGCGCAAGACTTTCTCGGCGAAATAAGTATCTTTGGTTGCATGAAACATGTCAGCACGGGGCCTACCTTGCCAATACTCATATATCTGCGCACAACATATTCAAAAACGGGTCAGCACGGCCGTTGCATCACAGGCATGATGCCATCACCGAGTCACGAGCTGTTCTGTACCAAGGGACGCCCCAAGACGACGAGCTTACACCGGGCAAGATGGGCGATGCAATCAACAGAATGCGTGGGCGCCACAGACGAGTCATGGCTTTGACAGCCTCAGCTGGGCCGTCTCCTAGACCAGGGGAACTTGCCACGAGTTGGGATGGCTAACGGTGTTAGCTTCAGCAAGTGCGCTGATATGGTTGAGCGAAACGTTGGCTGTGCATGACTGGCAACAAGCGTGACTGAGGACCGTGTGCCGTGTTTCTGTCGCAGTGTTAAGTTTGTGGACCGGACGGTCAGATACCGTTCTGAGAAGGCAGCATCTGACCGATAGGCATCCTCCGTGTCTTAGTTGATGGTGATATGGTGGATCTCGCGAACATATTTGCGATGGCAGCACGTGAGGCTGAGGAGCTGTAAAAGGGTCATCCACCTGCACCCCTGGACGGCGATCAAGTCCCTGGTCTTCGGTTCTTCTCGCCAATCGAAGCGCGGGCTTTAGAAGACACTAGAAAAGACGCCAAAGAAGGCGCCAAGCATTCGATGTTGTGGAGAGAGCTAAAGATCCGCGATCTGGTGGCCCTTGTCCTACTAGCAAACCGCGCAATTGCAACGAGGCCTTTGGATTGGAAGATCAATATCATTTAAGGTGTGGCTTAATCACCATATTTGCAGGCAACACGTGGTAAATGCCTGTGCAACACGAGAGCTGATACCCACTCTCTCTGCACCGTGCCTTGCATACTTATTGCTCACGGATGGTCATTCGCCATTCCCAGAAAAACTATGCCAGCTTGTGCCGCACTCAATACCAACATGGGGCCAATACAAATTGGTCGTCAGCCAGAGACGTGCTATGTGCTGCATGTGCTTGTTCTTTGACAGCGGCCCAGTTCCCGCCCGGTCGTTTCACTCCATCCACGTTCACAGAGTCTGTAGATTAGATAGTTTGTAAGCTAATTTTTTCAGCACCGTAAATGAAAACAAAGGTACCGGTTGCCTGGAACATCGAGATATATGGTTGGGATATCAGGTCGCATACGAAGCCGCGTCGTAACCAAGGTTCCTCAGAATAAAGGGATAGACCTACGCTACACGGCAAGCATCGAACACAGCACTAACATGCCGTGAATTTTAGCGTATTAGCCTTCGACGCCGAAACCCTTCAGAACCAAACTTTGAGCTTTTGGTCCCCGAATGTTCCGAAATTGCGTTGAGCGCCAAAACGGGCGCGAGAGCTTGCGCATCTTATCGTGGCACTTTGGAAGGAGGGGTACCTAAACAGTTCCTCGCCGATATAAACCCCTTTTGGTAACTCAGCAACACGAAATTTGTTCAAAAGCTGGGATTCTATGTGTTGGCAAAGCAAAGACAGACTCGGCATGGCAGTCAGTTCGGTATCAGTATGGTCACGTGATGGAATCACAGTAAGATCAGCTTCTAATAGCAAAGCTCCTGGATCGACTACACCCGGAAAATTTCGTGCGGAGCTACTTTAGATATACTCTCTTTCTGTATGCTCGAGCCGTACCGTCGAATTCAGCCGAGACTTGGAAGACAGCGGATAGGGTATTCAAGGGTTCTGTACATACATATGAGCGGTACGTTACGCCAATTGCTCAAGTCATATGCTATTGAGCATGGATTCAATTGCCAGCCAAACAATAACCAGACCCCAGAGGAGCACTGTAAAGTGCCTGGGACGGCTCAGCTAGTGCTGCCGCTGGGCACCAATGACGATGACGCTGAAAGTATTCCGTCCGATACTAGTTAGCGTACGACAGAACCAAAGTCGGCCCCAGCACAACCGCATCACCAAAAGAACACCGCTACTTGCATACTAAAACATCAACTAAGCGCCATTGCAGCATAGCTTGTAGTCTTCGTTACTTTTGTATACGACTAGAACGTGAAAGAAGAGCACGTGCAGGCCGGCAATGCGTGGAGCCGGAGGGAGTTGGCCATGCAAGTCCGGGAATTGAGCGGAGCCGTGTGCGTGTACTACTAACGAGAACTGAGGATGCAGCAACCTGCAAGGCGATCAATTAGATCCCTATTTCTTTTCTAAACTATAACAGGCTGCTACACGGTTTGCCTCATCTTCGCCCTGCAGACATCGAAGATGCGGAGCACAAGCACGTTGCAGATCCGTCGATCCTAATCACCAACCGCCCTTTTGCACGAGGCATAGCACAAGACGCAGTGCAAGCTCGAAATAACTCGTTGATCAGCAAACTTGCAAGGGGAAATCACGAAGATCATGTTGCAACGTATGCATGCAATTTTGTGATCAATGTAACGACCCAATTCGGAATGTGGGTCCAGCCTTACCTCTGCTGCCATCAAACAGCCAGACACCACACATCTTTTAGCACGCTACGCCCCCGCTTTCAATATTCGCGCGAAATCATAGATGTGCCCTTTTCAACTATCGAAGACAATGTGATGCACTCTTCATTGGTGGATTATACAATTTCAATCCCACGGTTCTACAGCAGCAACTCGAGCATAACACATTAAGGGACTTTGGCTAGTATGGCCATCTTCTCGCCGGATCCCCAGGTGTTTGAGCCAGACTAAAGGAAAGAAAAAAGGAAAGAGATTTGTGAGAGAGTGATGCATATGTAGTGCTGTCCACCCAGAGCAAGTCCATCAAGTCAATCGCGTGGACGATAACGATCTTTGAAATTCATAATCTTTACCTGTGATGGCTTTTCCAAGCACATCGTCCCTGGTACTCCTGGCCATTGGTCTAGTAGTAGCAAAAGTACATAAATCTATATCAGCACACCACTCTCATCTATAAAGCAACAACTGACACCTTTCAGTTTCTCTACGTGGGCCTTACATGTCCAACAAGACACCTACCGGGCCCCTGGTACACACGCTTCACACACTACCGCCTCAAACGTGCCGTCGTCACCGGCCAACGCATCTTCTACATCGACTCACTGCACGGGAAGTATGGCCCAATTGTCCGTCTCTCACCCACGGAAGTGGGTGTTGCCGACCTCGATGCCTTCAAGGAGATCCACAAGATCGGCACAAGATACATGAAGAGCGAATGGTATCTTCGCCTCGCCAACTTCCCCAAAGCCGGTGTCTTCACCATGCTTGACCCGCGCGAGCATGGTCCGCGGAGGAAGCTGTTGTCTAGGTCATTCAGCCGATCTTATCTCGTACAGTACTGGGAATCCGTCGTAAAAGAAAAGGCGCTCCTCGCCGTGCAAAAGATCAAAGCAGACGCCATGAAGAGCACAGCAGATGTGTACAACTGGTGGATGCTACTCGCCTCGGACGTCAGTGCCCATCTCGCCTTTGGCGACTCCTTTGGCATGCTCGAAGACGGACGCGTAAGATATACACTCTCTTTCCCCCACCCTCAGTTCAAAACAACTTTATCTCTGCAATACTAACGGCAACACACCACCAGACCAATCAATTCATGCGCGTCCTCAAAAAACTCACCATGGGCGCCGGCATAATGGTCGAAATGCCTCTGCTCCGTCTCCTCCGCTTCATCCCCGTCACCGCCATACAAGAAATGTTCAACGCCAACGAATTCATCCTACAAGGCGCGGGCAAAGCCGTCGAAACCGCGTGTTCCCGCACAGGTGAAAACAACATCTTCGCCAAGGTAATCGAAGACTGCAAAAAGGAAGGCGATGGCCACATCGACGACATGGACGTCCGCATCGAGGCTATGAACGTCATCATCGCCGGCACAGACACGACCGGCGTCACGCTGACATACCTGACGTGGGCGGTGCTGCAGCGACCCGAGTTGCAGGCTGCGCTCGAAGCAGAAGTTGCGGGTTTACAAGAGGATTTTACAGAGAACGATCTTATGAATCTGCCGTTGCTTAATGCGGTGATTGAAGAGACGTTGAGGTTGTATGGTGCGGCGCCGAGTAGCCTTCCGAGAGTTGTTCCGCAGGGAGGGACGAAGTTTGCGGGCCATTTTATTCCAGAGGGGGTGACGGTGGATACGCAGGCGTATACGTTTCATCGTCATCCGCAGATTTGGAGTCAGCCTTTGATGTAAGTTTGTTTAACGCGACTGACCCGTTATTTATTACAACTGTTTTATGGCGAGGGTTTATTAACGGTACATGCTAGATTCAACCCCTACCGCTGGATCCCCGATAAGGAAACTGGGGTGGCCGAAGCACTCTCTCCCGCTGCCAAACTGGCATTTCACCCGTTTGGAGCGGGCGCCCGGTCGTGCATTGGGATTCATCTGGCGCGCATGGAGTTGCGGTATGCGTGTGCGTTTTTCTTTCGCGAGTGTCAGGGGATAAAGTTGGGGAAGAGGACGACGCCTGAGAGTATGGAGTTTGAGGTATGTTTCTTCTTTTCCTTTTTTACATGATGTGTTTTTTTTTGGGTTTGAACGCGAATGAGAGATGTGGGCTAACGAAAGCGATTAATTTTAGAACTTCTTTCTCATTGCGCCAAAGGCGCATCGGTGTGAGATTACGTTTAGTGAAGCGCAGTAGGAGGTGTTCGCGGGGTTGAGTTGGTGGATAGAGGGAATAGACTTTAGTTTGAGGTGTGGCTCATGGGTATGTTGATCGTGCTTGTGTGGCAGACGATATGATATGAATGAGATGAATTTTATGCAGGGAAATATCGGGTATAGCAATTGAAGAATCAAGTTTGAATATGTAATGACTTTTGAAGAAAACAGTTGAGGATTCCTTATAGCAACACGTCCGGATTACGAAAACGGCCTAAATGTCAACAGCATGTCCAGCCTCTATGTCAAAAAAGTCAAGTTATAAAAATCTCATTCAATTAATTACTTTCATGGCTAAAGATGCGAAACCATTACCATAACATTCATATCCCATAACAACCCTCCACAAACAAAACATCTTCATGCCAACAAGCGCTTAAACCCTCTTGGTATCAATACACTCATTTCTCCTAAAGCACGCAACGAATTACATCCCACTCAGACTATTCCATCGCTTACAAGAAGAAAGCAGCAGCGGCAAAGAGGGCAGCAAATCCACCAGACACAGCAACCGCAGGCGCAGCATTAGCAGTAGCCTGAGGGAGCCCCGAGCCAGTAGGCGTGCCAGTACCGGTAGGACGAGTACCATTTCCAGCACCAGCACCACCGCCAATAGGCGCAGAGGGAGTAGGCTGGCCAGAAGTAAATGGAGCGTTGGAGACGGGGGTGGCACCCGAGTATGCGGGCACACCGTCCTCGCTGTCAGAAACAGTGGTGTTGTTGGGGTTCAGGACCTGGTCGATGACGTGGACGACACCGTTGGCAACGAGGACGTCGGCAATAACGACCTCGGCGTTGTTGACGTAAATGCCATCGTCGTTGACGGTGATGGTTACATTAGCGCCGTTGACGGTGGCGATGGAGGTGCCGTTTGCAAGGCGGGTTGAGTAGCCGACGGTGCCGGCAATCACGTGGTAAGTGAGGATCTTGGTGAGGTCGTCGGTGGAGAGGCCGGGAAGGGCAGAACCAATGTTCTGGAAGGCCTGGTTGGTGGGTGCGAAGATGGTTACGTCGGGAGTGGTGTCGACGGTTTGGACCAGGTTGGCGGAGACGAGGGCGCCGCGGACGGAGGTTAGGCCTGCAGCTGTGGCGATGTCGGAGACGGAGCCAGGAATGGTGAGGAGGGTGTCGATGATGTGGATTACACCGCCGGTGAAGTTAACATTCTGGGCTTGTTAGCAAGGGGAAGGATGGAGGTGGATTTGGGGACATACGGCTGTGGTGACGGTCGAGTTGCTTAGGCTTCCAGTGTAGAAGACAACCTTGTCGTCTTCAGTCGTAGCGTGGACGACCTGGCCGCCAGTGACGTTGGTGTACGAGCTGTTAGTCAGAAGCGTAGGAACGAAAGCGCCCTCGTCTGGGATAGCAGAAGATGGGTACGATCCATTGAGGACGTGATACTGGAGGAGGGCAGTAATGGCGCCCTGGTTGGAAGTCAGAGAAGACAATAGCTGAGGGCTGACTTTCTCAAAAGCCGAGTTTCCGGGCGCGAGGATGGTGATGTTGCTGGCACTGCTGAGTGACTGAAGAACATCTTGAGGGACGAGACCCGCGAGAGTCGACAGTTCGGACGACGATTTCAACGCGTCAGCGAGACTGGGAGTGTTCTGCGCGACGGCAGCAGCCGCGAGGGCGGCGGCAATAGAGAGCTGCTTAAGCATAGCTAATTGAACGCTGAGATGTAGTGAAGAAAGAAGGACAACAGTAAGAAGAGCAAAGACAGTGGTAGAACTGCTGTCAGGTTAACTTTTTTTTGAGTGCCTTACAATTGAGAATCGGGGGGAAACAATGCAATAAGTACCATCACCGCCAGCGACATAGCCACAAGCAAGCCCATCCCGCCTCTTCTCTTGCTAGTCATGCCGTTACCTGTTCCAAGCCCATCAGGAACCGACGGTACCGGCGAGTTCTCTCCAAGACCCCTGCTCGAACCAATTAGGCCGAACAAATGCAGTACGGTGATGCTCGCTACAGGACGAGGCTTATGTCGTGCGGTATGGCCCGGTAAGCACCAGTGATATCATAGATCTGTTGGCCAAGTCACGACACACGCGGATTAATGACGCCTTGAAACTATAGGCCATTCATTTGTTGTAGATCCAAGCACTCTAGTCGTGTCCGCGTGTTGTCGCGAGTGGAAAACCTGAATAGTAGTCATTGAGGCTGTGAATACGACACCTCACGATCGGAGGCTTAGTCCCTCAACCGGCCATCTTCTTTTTTTTTCACTTCTCTTTCCCATCTGTCTGCTGCTTTGCACGTTTCACGGCCGTCAGCAATCGTCTCCCAACGAAAGGGCAAATGTCAAGTCCCCTTGCTGATGGAGTGGCTGGTCTGGTTTCACTCTAGCCCAACTTCAACCTTTTGTCCGGAGAAAAAAGCCCAGGGTCAAAGAGATAAAGATTCTGGAATGGTAGTACGTACTAGCCCCAACTGCAGGGGAGGGGTAAGAAACGTGTTGTCAGTTCTCGATCGGCAATGTGTGGGGTAGACAAGGGCTAACTAGCTTGGCCGACGACACCATCACCTAATCAAGTGTGCAGGGGGAGAAGCCAACCGTATTTTATGATCAACCTCGACTCTTGACCATACGATGCGTGCATCGAACATGCCAGCAGTAGATCGAAGAGTACCTTGGGGAGAAGACGAAGGATTGCGCGTCCCCGTAGCGCTGGCCTTGGATACTTTCCAAACCACACCACTTTTTGTCTTGTATTGTAAAGGCTGAAAGGCTTAACCTGATGGCTGGGTTTAACCCCAAGCTACATGGAGTGTATGAGTGTAACTTATTCATCTACCCCAATCACACAGAGTTTGAAAGCGCACACTCTCCCGTCCCGCTGCCAGCCGACGGCCGTTGTTGCCAGGACACTGTGCTGACTGTTGCTCTTTCTCCCATGTTCCATCCAAACTAAGTAGTATATCCAGATCGCCATGCACAAGCACAATTGCACATCTCTCCATCTCTCCACCCATTCAATCCGACATAAATCCCAAGCAATCCTTAGCCATCCTCACTGCCTCACCCAAGCCATTTACCCCACCGGCGACTTTTCGCCGCGATCCTCTTCGGACGCCTTACTATCTCCACACCTACATTGGCACCGCATGTAGCTGTATGTACAACCAACACATCCTACACGCGCACCCTCTCCACCCCCAGGAAAATCCGCCAAAAAATACCCTGCTGGGAAAAGTATTACACAGAAAAGCACAGCCCCTTGAGTCCCCCGCGCTATCCTAGTAGGTAGTAAGTCATTTGTAAGCGGGCGGCAAACAAACCCAACACCCTGGTGTCAACCACCTCGCCTAACCGCGCCACCCTTGTTGCATTTGTCCCGAGCATCGAGCAACTTTCTTTCATTTCCACACTTTGAACTTGAGATCCTTGCCCTTTCCTTTGATGCGCGTGTTTTGCCGCTGGGTACCTGATCTTTCCCGTTTCTCTCTTTCTTTTAATAATCCTAGATCTAGAACTCGGGAGGAGGGTGTGCGGCTGGTTTTGCAAGCGACATTTAAATTGCGTTGTGTTAGTAATGAGTTTCTGGGTACCGTTGGCGGCGGGGAAAATGTAAGCTGACAACACGATTGAAAAAGCTTGTTATGCGATGAAACTTGTTACTTCTTGCATCATTCGGGCTAGGCATCGTGGACTGTGCTGTGTTGTATATACCCTGCGGACTTGGGGATAGCGGTGGATAGTGGATGGACAGCTAGGGTGCGTTGTTTTGTGCAAGGTAAGGTAAGGGCATGGTGAAGTCTGTACTATATTCACGCAATGGAACGCCATGGAAAGGAGAAACATTGTGATCTGTACTTCTTACTGAAGGCGTGTGAATTGTATCCCGCCGTTCGGAGTATCTTCGCCCGCTTCAACATCGCTAACTCGAGATGAATATGCCGCTCGACACTCGCCGTGTCTCGCCTCGGCGGACAAATACCCTAATTGATGTGGTGTGCTGCTGACATCCATAGCTTTCCACGATGCTTCAAGCGAGACGGATAGTCATATCACGTCCCGTGTGCGCTGAAACCCAAGGCAGCAGGTACTTGTCGCGTCCGGATATCGCCGGTAGGCAAAAGTTCATACTTTTCCCCAACAAGGTTGTCGTGATATTCCGCCATCCGTCCCTTGTCTTTCTTCTTCTCCAAAACAATCACAGTTGCTCTGCGCAACCGTAACAATACTTCCAGTCATAATCATAACTCGTCATCGTCGCTGCAATTTCTCTAGGATCAACCATGTGGACATTCACACCTTGCCCCTCAACATCTTCCCCAACGACGCTCCTAGGATCCTGCTTTCCTTGCTTCTACTCTTGGGCGTCGGACTCGCATGTCTAGACGAGGTCTTGGACTCGGCAGGCGAGGCCTCGCGGCGCTTTCTCCTCACAGCAGCGTCTTTGGACTCAGCGCTGCTGGATGAGTTGAGAGTGTCACTGCGTTTCCTGAGACGACGGGTTGGGCTTGATGTTTGCGCTTGAGGATGTGATTGCGAGGTAGACCTTGACGCTGATGATGTCTTTGGCGGGGCGGCTGTGGAGGATGCTCGTCTCCGTCTTCTCTCTTCGTCGATCTGCACAAGCTCGGGTTCTGGTTTGCGAGTGACAGCAGGACTCGGTGTTCGTGCTCGCCTTTCCTTTTCTGCAATCATGCTTTGCCGTTCCATTTGTTCGAGTGCGTCAAGAGACACCTTTTTCATCTCAGGAGCTGGGCGCGGCCGTCGGGGTTCACTTTCTGATCGCGATGCCGCATAGGAGTCGAGCACCTTCTCGACTTGCTTCCTGTGTGCATCGGTGCTTGCCAGGCGTGTGACCTCGAGCACCAACAGGAAAGTGAAGATGTACCCGACGAAGAATCCGAGCCGGCTCCAGAACTCGTAGGTGACGAGAAAGGAAAACAGTTTGACTGTGGAGATGACTCCGCTGATCATGTTTGCTAGAATGATTTGGAGTTTGGTAAGAAAGAAAGAGCTGTGGATTTGCGAAGCGGAGCGTAGTACTGCGGAGAGGAGTGTGGTATCGTAAAGAGCAGCGTGATACCCCAAATCCGTTGTGTGATCTTTAGCAAACCCAGTATCGATACATGCGACCAGCGCTCAGAAACATATACAATCCTATTCCAATACGTTATCGCTGGACGTCAGTCAAACACCAAGAAAGTAAGAAAGTAATAGAAAGAAGGCGCGCAACCCCCCTCTTCAACAATTACGACCACCCCTCAGCGCAGCTCATCACCTTCCAATCCCACCGTTTCACCTCCGTGTCGCCAAGGGGGCCTCCTTACACAGGGGTCCTCCTGGAATGTTTGAGCATGAAACGGCTGACAGGAAACCGAGGAAGCGGGGTGGAGGGTACGTAAGGCAAAAGCGCGCGCTGATACGGTAAGAGGCTAGGTTCCAGATACCAATTTACATATTGTGGCGCTTGGAGGGTTATCTTTCGTTGTTGCAGGCGCCTTGTCGTGTGATGGGGGGAAGGTGAGAGCGGGTGGGGCAAGGGAGGGGCAAGGGGGATTGTAGCGAATAGATTTGCGAGGATACGATGGACGCCAGAGATAGTACTAGGAAGAGCAAGGGAGTAGTTCGCCAGTAAGCGCTGGTGTTTGGAAGTACGAGGGCATTGTTCGCATAGATTTTAGCTGGAGGGCAATATATTTTGCAGCATAGAAGAAGAAGAAGAGGAGGAGGAGGTGTAGGGATTGGTGCGTCATTTCTTGCTTTTTTTCACCATCTCATCATGGGTGGGTGTAAGACAGTAATCTGTCTCTTGGAGCTAGCAGCGCCTCTTCATTTCCGCGTATCTTTTGGTGCTTCCGAAGGTGCCGGCGCATGTGAAAGAGAGAAGGGAGGAACTTCCCTGCAAGAAGATGAAGATGGCTACCAGTAGCGGAAGTGGTGAGGGGGGTGTTCAATCCGTGAAGTTGTCATCTACCAACCTTCACTGTACATTATCACCATATCCTTGCTCGTGGGCTCAAAAGAAGAGTGAGTGTGCCATGGTTGCATTTATGTATTGGTAGATAGCCAAAAAGGGCAATGGGGAAAGGTTTCAACATGTCCCATCCACATGCGCGGGCTTTATCTCGCTCTTGCTATTCAAAATGCCACAACACGCCAAAAGCGTAGTAATACAGCATATAGTCGTAGTGTATGCATGCAACTCCGCACCGAACTCCAGATCCGAACTCGCTAAATGAGGAGAGAAAAAACAAGAGAGAGAAAAACAAGGAAACGCCGCGCTCAACAAATGCAGCAACATGCAACAGGGAAAAAGTCAAAAGAAGCACCACTTTTGCTTGTCCAGCGTCTTTCCAAAAAAAGAGAGAAGAGGGCTCTACCGCCCACCAGGCAAAATCTCATCGTTAAATATGCTAGCATCCCAGCCCCTCTCTTCCATAAGTGTAGCGGCATCTTCACTCATCCAATGTGTTTCTACCGCACCCGAACTTCGCATGCTTTGACTTTTCATGTAGTTGCCAATGCGCGTCGTTTGCTCAAAGCCGACCAGGCATCCCCAAATAGTTGCAGCGAGCCATGAGAAGAATGAAGATACAGGGACCCACCAGTCCTTGATGAGATTGCGGTAGATGAGGGTAGGAATGACATAGGGATATTTTGGAGCATTGGGGTTCACACTGAATGGGTAGGGATACGATTGGGCGTACACGGGTCGACAGTATAACTCACTGGAGGAGCAAAGTCAGTTAGATAATTCACAGCAACAAATGGCGTTATAAGTGGATAAACATACCAAGCAACCTCTTCGCTTATCCACCAGACCAAGAGGGTGATGAGAAAAATGCTCAGACCCGTTAGTCCGCCCCAGAACCTCAGCCGACTGTTGGATATCTGGCGCAAGGACTTGAGTCGTTGCTCCCAGAATAAGCTCTTCCACCACTTCCACATTGAAAAGTACTGCGCGTGGTCTTCACTCGTACACAGACATGTCCGCTTGACCACCTTGATTTTCTCGCCATTCTCTCCCTCTTCGACATGCTCGACTCGGTCCTCGACGCGCTTCATGCCTCGACTTACGTCACGGATGCTAGTACGCGCTGCACGGAGGCGATCGCTCATGCGATGCAAATGGACGAGCTCTTGCTGTCTTTGGCGTTCCGCATCGTTACGGGGTGCATCAGTTGGAATCTGAAGACCCTGAAGAGTATCTTCGTCTACTGCGATTTCAGTCAATGGAGTGATGAGCTCCTCAAGTGAGTTGATTGTAGAGTCACCAAAATCCGCTGTTGATTGTTTGTCGTGAGCTTTCGCTTCTTCGACGAGTGCTTGCAGTGCAGATCTGGGTAACTGGGGACGGATCACTTCCATAGCTACATTTGCAGACCCTTCAGTGCCAGGCCTGAGTCTCTCAAGCGATTTGGTCTTGCGTGGATCGACTTTCTTGGGTGAGCGTGAACGCGAACGAGATCTACTTGTAGAGACAGATCTTTGAGTAGTACGTGGACCTGGTGTGTCGACCCAGGCACCAGTCACTACTGGAGTCTTGGGGTTCAATATCGGTCTCTTTGCGGGCATTGGTGTCGCATGTACTCCATTGGTTTTTGCTCCCTTCTCCGTTGAAGATTCCGGCAATTGTTCGGCTTCTTGGGGCGTCTCTCGTGACCCCTCTCGCTCTGTGTCCCCTTGTGACGCAGGTGCCACAGGTTCGGAAACGGCTTTGGGCACGGATGCATTCACTTCCACGTTTTGCATCCTCTCTTTGCCCGAAGATTGGGTACGCGTGGTTCCCGTCTCTGATGAGCCGTCCAGCGGCTCTGAAGGTGTCGCTTGTGGCCGCGCCGGGCTTGGGGTGTTCGAGGCTCTCGCCAGCCGACGCAGCAGGTCCTGTGAGTCATGCCGCCGATGGGGAACGCGCTTTGGTGGGATTCTTTCAACAGTGGCAACCACTTCGCGATCTACCTCAGCTATGCTCTCCGTGCTCTTATACATTGCAGAGGGCATGTCTTCCTTGCCCACACCCATTACCGGCTGTGACTTGCCAATTGACTGCCATGACTGTGTGCGCATACGCAGCTTTTTCTGGGGCGGCGGAGACTCTTGCACGACTGGTTCGGGGTTCGATGCGCCATGGCTTGCACTCTCGGCTTTCCGCCCAGACGAAGACCGTCGGCGCGCTGGCTCGGGCGAGCCCGACCGTTCCTTTGAGCTTTCAATCTCGCGCCGCCGTATGTCGTCTAGCACGGTACTTCTGGGGATGTAGGGCGTAGATGCAATCATGGAAGCTTCGTTGAGCTCAAAGGTGAGGTCCCACTCCTCGGAATCGGCGCGTGGAGTGCCGACCATGGACGTCTTGTGCGAGAGCGGGCTGTCTTCGACTGAGCGGTGTGGCAGGTTCGCGTTGTTGCCGTAGTATTGATCGTTTGTCCCATCTTCTTCTGGGGCCGTGGGTGTCTGTTGCTGCTGATCCTCGTCGTAGGCGATGGCCCGCATCCAGTGTCTGTTGCTCCTGCTCTTCCTACCCCATGCTGCCGGCACATGTATTGCTGGATTGCTGCTTGTGCTCCCGTTACTGCTGGGCGGGCGGTCCAGGCTGACATTTGCACTCGCCGCCGCTGTTGCTGCTGCATTGTTCCTTTCGAGGTTCTCCAGGGTCAAGCCCACGCGCGGATGTGCGCGCGCCTTTGTAAAGGGCTGGGGCCGGTTACTGGCGGCCTGGCTCAGTCGTCGTCTGTCGCGCTCGTTGCGTATCATGAGCTTATCAAAATCGTCTTCGGCGTCATTTTCGAGCTCGCTCAGTCCAGACACGACGGAGTCTGCATCGTGCAAGTCATGTCGGTCGTGGTTTCCGGTGTCCATGGTGCCGAGTCCATTGGTCCTGGTGGTGGTTGTAGTGGTGGTAGCTAATGTGGGTCTCTGGAGATGTGCGTAGCGTGACTTGACAGCGGTGGCCGACGGCGGGGAAATGGGGTGGAGGGGCTGGCGCGTAGTCATTGCCGGGCGGTGGGCTGATTGCGATATCTGCGCATAATACTGAGGGCTGTGCGAGAACCCGGGGGTTGGTCTGCGTGGCTACAAGATATATTTCGAGTAATGAGGGCGGTAAGCGGACTAGCTTTGTGCATGTGTTGTCGCATCGCGCACGCGTCGTGGCTCGCTACGTAGGAACGTGCGCCACAGATTGCCGCAGGGATCAGGTCACCAGGTATACTACACACGCACGTATAGGTGTACGTTTATACTATCCGTCTATCTATATCATGGTTCAACGTCTCAATTCGCCTCATAACCAGAACCCATCATGGCTCTTGCTTATCAATGGCCTCCATCCTCCTCTTTACCATGTCGGCGTCACTGTTGCCTTGCTCGTCCCTCCATGCACGAAACGCCTCCTCTCGCATCACCTTCCGCGGTGCTCGCTTGCCAGTGAACAACTCAAACTGAGCAAAAGCTTGCTCGGGTATGAAATCTAGCCCATCCATGTACGTCCAAAGCTTGTTTGCTGCATCTCGCACCTGTTGCTTCAGCGGAGTGTTGAGCGACTTATACGCCGTCTCCATGACAATCCCACCCGTAGGGCTCTCCATCCACTGCCTGGGAAGGGTGAACTGTGCTGCTGGCCCGCCATCTATCGGGTCAGTGGGTATGCAGGAAACGATGATGGTTGGCTGGCGAAGTGCCTCTGGCCATGCGTCGTCACGTGACTCTAGGATCTTGAAGTTTGGCAGGTTCTGAGGTGTGATCGACGACACACTCGCTGTTTCTGTTGAGCTTGAAACAAGACGCGAAAAGTGCGCAACAAGGCTCTTAGCTTTCTCAAGTGTCCGATTGAAGATGACAATGTTTCTCACCCCCATCTGCAACAGCGCGTAGACGGCCGCCCGGGCCATGCCACCAGCCCCGATGATGAGGCCACAAGACAGCGGCCGTACTGCGTTCGCAGGAGACAGCCCCCTACGCACGCAAGACCGAATCCCAATCCACTCGGAATTATCTCCATACAGAGCCTGAATAGGCCCAGACTGATTGCGTTCCTGGAAGATTTCCAATTCGCTTGGGAGACTGCCATCCTGGTTACGCCGACGCACGGGTATTACTGTATTCACAGCACCAATCGCGCGGGCATGCTGGCTCATCGAATCCACTAGTGCAATCACCTCCATCTTGAATGGCTGGATCACAATGGAACCACCAAAGTTTGGCTGACGTACCAGTTCCTTGAGACTGTTGAGCGAGGGGCTCTGAATGCGAATGAATTCATGGGGCATTCCGCATGCCCGGTACGCAAGATTATGCATTGCCGGTGACACACTGTATCCCAATCGCTTACCAATAATGTAAATCTGCATTGGGTCAAGCGTAAACGAGCTATACAAAGCCTGGGTAACTTCTCGCGCTGTCACCCGAGAGTCGTCAGTGTGATGTGCCATTGGCCCTATCGTGTCCGTTTTCTCCGTTGCTGAAGGTGGCACAACGGGTGTCAAGTACTTGTTAAAACAGACGGAGCGCCGACCTGCTCTTCCTGTATTGTAGCAGATCAGAGGCACTTGGGCATCATGCTTTGCCATTCTTGAGCTGAAACTGCGAACTGAAATGTCGTCATCAATGGAATAGGCTGGCCGAGTGAATCGAACAGCAGAGCAACCAATACGCACAGCCATTTCGTATTGCACAACCCAGAAATGATCCTCCCATAGCGTGTCAGCATGGAGGTGGCCAATGATCTTGGTCGTACCTCGAGAGGCAATCAAATCTGTAAGCGTCGCTGCATCTAGCGACAAATCGACTGTCGCATACTCGGGTGCCATTCTCAATCCATGGCGTACATGTTCCAAATAAAGTGTCCGATGGCCGTCTGTGGGGAATGTCGGAAGTATGTGATAAATAATGGGCACTACTGTACTTCTCCGTACCTTGGATATGCAAGCACTAACCTCATCCAGGGCATCGGCCATGATGCGTGGTTGGCTAAGATCAAATATGACTTCAAAGGCATCTGATCCAACTTCCAGACGTTGTACATCTGCATCTTCGGCTAGGATGTCTTCTAGCGGTACCTGGACGGCACAAGTGTAGTTGCGGAGCTCCGTCGCCACATCGGATAGCGGATATCCAGGTTCCAACGGTGGAATTGATAGCCCGACTGAGCCACCCGAGTTTTCGGGATTTGTGACTATCGACAGGAATTTAAGAAATGTTCGTTGGGCTCTTTTCAGCGTGAGAAATGCGGGGGCCACTGGCTGATCAGCAGTATCAGCGCTGGTGGGTTTGACCTCGGAAATGTTATAGAACTCATAGTTAGAGCACCGCCGAAGGATGGGCGCAGTTAACGCCAGCATGTCTTTCAGTCTCTTCAGATCGGGCCCTCCCAGATAGTTGTGCAGACTGGAAAGGTCACGCTGTACGTGTACTACGGGGTGCGTGCGAGCAAAGTCCTGCATCAACAACTGTCCGTTTCTCTCCAACGAGAGTCCATTGCAGACAATAATTGCACCTTGATCGTATTCATCAAGAATGCTACGCAGAAGCTCTTCTTGCCGTAAATTAAAGTTGGCAGCCCCAAACTGCTTGCGGTACTTGGCAGTAGAGAAGCCCGTCGTCTCTTGAAACATGTCTTCTACGTCGAGCACCCGCCTCCGGCATGCTATCGAGGCAATGACGGCCAAGGTGGACTTTCCAGTCCCAGGCATACCAAGTAGTACTATTGAAGCATCTGCTCTAAACATGCGACGATGAGGACTCGCTGGGGGCAAGGGAGCGGGGGTGATGCGAGGGGTGGATCGCGCACTTGAAATGGTCGAGGCTGTTTGTTGGTCAGCACGCAAGCAACCAGACAGGTACATCCTTACGTACTTGCGCCATCTGGGCTGACCTTGCGCCTTTGGGGAAGTACTGTAGAGTCTGATGTTGCTGTCTCGCGCGTCACCGAATTGCCATAGGAGCGGTAGCTCTCAGCAGCTCCGCCGTTCTCTTCTTCCAAAGAAGCAAAGGCGCGTTTGGTCCCTATCGCTGCGGAGGCCATGATGGCGGCGCCGGTCTGGCTGGGAGTACAGAGGCGTCAAGGGTTCAGGTCTCGGACGCTTTATTTCTCCGGTGGTTCTTCAAGTAGCCGTGCGGCGGAATACAACAGGTGATATGGGTAGACTGTGGAGCCGAAAGTGGTTGGGACGACTCGAGGTATGCATGGTATGATGTATCATGGGAGGGATGGGCAGGGCAGCTGTTAATCGTCCGCCGTCAACCTGGTAAGCGATTGAGGACGGCAGAGCGCGGGAAAATGGACGGCAGCTGGTTTTACACAAAGGCATGTCACAATGGTGGTGGTGGTGGCCCATGGATACGGGGTAGTCGCAGAGAGGGCAATGGCCGGCTGAATGCGCCACCGGATAAGCCTTTTTCCACTCACTTGCGTGTCGTGCCGAACTCGCGTAGACACTCGACGTCTTGCGCTCCTGTTATGCGCGAGGCATACACATACACTGTCTAACAGCCCCGGCCCACCCTCCGCAATCCATGACACACCCCGGATCATCTGGCCGCTGAGCTCCGTAGCGTTCCTGGACCAACCAGACTGCTCCGTCTCCCTTTCTCGCTGCCGAGCCTTCTTACGTCGACTCTTTGGGTTACTAGATGACCCCCCTACATCCAGCTATGCACATGCACCACTGAGTATCCCGTTTTGTGATCATAATATATTGCGGATCCGTTCGCATCGGGCTCATGCCTGCACAAAGTCAGGCAAAGCGCCAATCCGCACCCCTATCCGAAGAGAAGCCTGCCAAACGCACTCGTGTATCACGAGCATGCGACCAATGTCGCGTTGCACGTGAGAAGTGTGATGGCCTCCAACCAACTTGCTCTACCTGCTCAGGAACCACCAGAAAGTGCTCCTACACGGCAAACCCCAAGAAGAGAGGCATCCAACCAGGCTACATTCGCACACTCGAGTTGGCACTTGCATGGCTTTTCCAGCACAATCTAGACAACGAATCTGCCCTCAAAGAGAAGCTAGCACAAGAGGGCGCTTCGTCATTACTCCTCAGCCGTGACTCAAAGGAGTCGAATAAGCTCCACAGACGATGGCGCAAATCAAAGTTCTACATCGACGTTGACAAGCAGCTGTCTGGAGGAGAGCCTTCAAGGCATGAACAAGCTACCTCACCCGGTTCTTTTAGCAGCGACGAGGATTCGGATACCGAGGAGCCTTTGAACAAAAAGCCCAGCCGTAGCCAAGCAAGTAATATTGAATTCCAGCGCAGGGTTGAGCCTTCAGGTGTTGCACAAATCGCAGCAACATCACATAAACAGCCGGTCAACATCGGTGCTCCAGAAACAATCCCACAGGATAGCTGGCAACTGTTCGAAGTATACTTTACCAATATACACTCTTGGCTTCCCATATGCGAGAAGCACGATACCCTAAAATCCGCCTATTCTTACCCTCTGCATAGCCATTCCAGCAATCCCGAGCAATCCGTTTCTGGGGCACATGCTGAAATGTGGAGTATCCTGGCAGTGGCATCACTATACGACGCAAACCTGAACGACCCCCTTGATCCATCATCCACAAGGCCTATGAAGCTGTACGAGACTGCCAGATCCATGATACCAAGCGAATCTGGACGTTTCGATGTCGGACATATCAGAGCTCTTCTGAATTTGGTCGTGTTCAACATCTCCCGAATGTTGACGGGTTCAGCCTGGCTACTCGTTGGTTACGCATCGAGAGCCCTGGAGAATGTAGACCAATCAACACTGATGGCAAACTCTAGACACAAACATGTCTACTACGGGTGTTTACTCCTCGACGGCATGCTAGCATTTCAGCTCAACCGCCGTCCTCACTTTAGGCAGACAGATCTAGGGCACCTCGGGCCTATTGACGAAGACGGTTTGGAAGAGTGGCAGCCTTGGTCTGGTTTCAATGATCCTATGCATGCTGGTAGGATGACCCCACTGCTTTCTTTAAGTACGTTCAACAATGTCATTGAGTTGGTTGACATACTTGTAAGCACTGGGCGGCAGTCAGCACAAGACACTTACCAAGAAGAGGCTGCTCAGCGTCTCGAGAGGTGGAAAACGTGTCTGCCCCCCAAAGTGGATGCTTTATTTTCTAATGGCTCCTTTTCGTTGCTCGCCCCGCCGACTGCCCTGCTACAAGCGACATATGACTGCGCTCTTTTTGTCTCCCATCCTTCGGATATAAGTTTACAACTGTTCCTCAAGGGACTTGATAAGTGTCAATTGGACATTGGTGTCCAACGACTACCCGTACCGATCAAATGTCTCGTTGTCACTATCAGCAGACTTGCTAGTCAACTCAATCTGCGTGAAACGACCCGCACCCAACTACAAAGGTTGCGAGCGGCCATGTTACCAACATCGCCTCAGTTGCATCATGATGATTCACAGACTCTTGAGAGCTCCATGATGCCGGCCAGACGATCTTCAACAGCCATAAATCTGTCAACACCAGAATCACTCCAAACCGCAACTCCCGATGGCCGCAACATGGCCCAGCCAACAATAGATCCCCTCAATGACTTCTTCTCTGGGCCGTATTCAACGAATCCATCGCATGTGGCAGTGCCTAGTCCATCACAAACCGACCCACGGTACCCCGAGCTCACCAGCGATCTCGAGACCTTTTTTGACGAATTGGCATCACTTGATAGCGCAACTCGGCCAGATAACCAGCCGCAATTTATGCAAAACCTTGGTTTCGGGCCTGGAGCAAGCATGGCTGATCTGTTCAGCGAATACATACCTATGCAGTCGTCGAATTTTCTGGTCCGTGACGACGTGGCGCCGACAAATCTTGATCAGTATGCCTTTTACGATGGGGGCTGAGTGGACAGATATTCGAATGTCTCAACACAATTCACGTTACGCATTCAGCATGTTGCATTTGCCTGAAGATCATCAGCTTTTGGTCGTTGGAATTTATTGTTAAATTTGGCCAACATGATAGTTCGCAAAGCTACACAATTTCACAAAGATATTATGAGTCGCATTATGCATGGCTGCATTTGGCACATCATCCGAGCAGGTCTTGTGATTCATTGCTATCCTTTTCTAGGATTGCAAGACTTTTCACCTCGCCGCACATGGCGTTCAGGATAAACCGCCGGCCGGATCAGATAATCTGTTTAGCCCTTGTCGAGCCGATTAAAGACACATATTCGCGTACCGCTTCCAGGCAAGAATGAAGAGCTACTTCAATACGGCGAGCAAAAGTCATGCTCCATTTCCAATCACACATATGAAACCATCTCGTACACCCAGAAGAGCAAATCTCACCAATCAGTCAAAATATTCACTCAATGAAGAATATTCAAACCAAACGCCACTTATCCCGTCCATGATCCTCGGACATGTTCCCGAAGAAAACTTTGAAAAAGGAAAACCATCAAGAAAACGAAAAAGGGTTTCCCTCATCAGACGAACATGTACGCCACGTTTCGAGAGCGCTGTTTCACAATCTCTCGCATAGCCACAATTGTCAAGTCGATCTGGCGGATAAGGGGGATAAACCTTTTTTTATAAATAGTCTCAAAAAAATTGATGGATACTACTTGGATGTCTGTTGTTTTCCTAGGACCGCGGCATAAACCTATGAGACTCAACGCAAATCGATATTTGAATTCTCGTCATTTATGCCTCCTTTGTTCAAGCAAGAGAGGGATGGTTATAGTCCATGAAGACTAATAATTAGTATCGCATTATGCGAAGAAGAAATCTAGCAGGAGGGAAAAGAAAAACGAGTGTCGAGAATGGACGGATGGACGGGATGTATAATTCTATTATTTTTTTCAGACACGAAAGCAGGGTATCATCGCAATCTAGACCAATGGAGACCATAACCATCTATTCATGCTTCCCTCCACCCCTTCCCTCAAAATTCCCTAGCACTAGAACGAAAAAAGAAGAATAGAAGGCATGCAATCAAATATCCGTCATGCCATCCATGCCCCCTATCTCCCTACTAAACTGTTCAAAATCAACCCCTTGATCCTCAAACATCTGCTTTACTTTTTCGGCCGCAGCAGCTTGTCGTTCGGGGGTAAAGCCACCAGGGGCACTACTTTCGTACTGGATGAGCTCGACCCACCTGAAGAACAAACTCTCCTTGCCCATGGCCGTCAGCTTGTCCTTGAAGGCAACGACTTTTTCCCTAGCTTCCGTTTCCGACCCTTCATCGAGCTTGGCGCAGTCCCATACAGCCCACTGTCCATTATCGCGCTCCGCGTCGCCAACATACACGAAGACGCTTTTGCGGACATGATCAAGGGTGATGTCTTTGCGATCGAGGAGCTGCGTCGCGGCGACCATGCCGAAGAAGTCAAGGTCGAAATCCGCGTCCATGAGCATATACCCTGTTTTCTCGCGGAGCCGCTGCTTGTCCACCGCGGGCAAGATGCGCGTCTTGAAAAAAGGGCTCTCGCCTCCTCTGCGTCCGCTGCTTCCCTCCGCCTCACCCAGCAGATCCTTCGCACCCCACCCCCTACTAACCCTTACATAAAGCTCTTGCTCTCTAAACCCAACGTTCCAGCGCCAACTAACAGGGTTGCCGGGCTGCTCGACGAAGAAACTCCAGGGCCAGGGTCCGACGATGCGGAAGAGGAAAAAGTCGAAGAGAAATAGGAGCATGCGTCTTCCGACTTTCCAGAGCAGCGAACCCCATGTGTTGGCGGCCCAGTATATGGTTGTGTGGTTGGCTTGTCCGAGGACGGACTTGGCGATGTCGAGGTAGTGGGGACCGATGGTGTATAGGCGCCATAGCAGGAGCAGCACGAAGCTAGCGTTGAGCAGGAGGGGCACGATGAAGATGCGGCGTTTGAACCATGCGGGATGGGGGTCCACGTGTGTTACGTAGACGAGCGAGCGGTCGAAGGTGTAGAGGAGGTTTTCGAGCTCCGGGGGTGCTGGTGTAAAGGGCGGTGGGATGGCCTTTTTGGTGACGTTGTTGGCTTGCTTGCCCGCGCGCGGCTTCGCTTTGGGCGGCATTGCGAGTGTGCGGTGGGTGATTCGAGGGCTAGCTGTGCGGAGCAGGTGGCATTGGTGATGGCAGAGGAGATTGTTGGTGTTGTTATTGTTGTCAGGTCTAACGGACGAAGTTGTAGGTTTCAAGCGTCATTCCGATGGGTTTCACCGTGCCGAAAATCTGGGGTAGAAAGGACATGCATGCTGCATCCTTTGGCAAGGCGGTGGGTGGACAGCGGCGTGTTTGACATGATACCTTGGGTTGGTCCTTCTTGCAAGGTGTGTGGCCTTGGAGAGATGAGTTTTTTACTTGTTGATTCCGGTCATGCTTTGCAGGCACAGACACAATGGCATATATCAAGCATTCCGCATCTACACCATGATGCTCCGTGACGCCGAACAAGCAAAGTCGGCGCCGGCCATGCGAGGGCCGATACAAGCGTCATTGGTCGGCAATCATATACCGTTTCCACCGATCTCTCACCACTTCCCCCCACTCAACGTCTAGTAAGCGACAGAAGCAGATCTCCGGCTTCACTGAGGAGACCCGGGCACCACCGTCGTCAGGCCGTCGATAACGTCAAGAGAAACAAGCGCCGTGTTGGCGCAGCTGCTAGACGCTGTAACACAACCGCAAGTGTGCTTGTAACGTCCAAGACTCAGGGCCTTCGCCGAGAGCGAATTTCCCGTATAGGAGAGCAAAATGAAGGGGAATGTTATTCATCAAAGAAAAGCATGTTGCCCTAAGAAACGGTCCTCGGAAGGGCAACCAGTCTTGGCCCTCTAGATCGACGCGTCTATCTCTGTCTTTGCACACCACGAGCGCGGAACGCATATACCATTGAGCAGCCAATGCCACTGCGGCTTTGAGCTGTGCTACCATGGCCCAGCTGAGCTAACAATGGGGCCGCATATACGTGCATGGAACCACTGCCCCCTCTAATTCAGACTAATTACAGAGTCGTCACGATTGTACACGCTGGTCATACGTTTTGCTTATGTATGACCGTCGGGCCCCTTGGTCTGAGCCATTGCCAACTATGATTTGAGCCCCAGCAGTCGCGCGGCCATCCCAGTGTGTGCACCTGATATCCACCATCTAGTCCCGTTCCCGTTGTCGAGAGAGAGCCGTGTTGGCTTTCCCTTGATCTAGTACATCCTTGACTTGGACATTTTGCGCGCTCTCCCAACTAACAAACAGTGAAGTATGTCTTCGCAACAAGGAGCACAAGGTCCTCCGGTATGTATAGTAGAATGTAACAAGACGAAACGCGTAACTAAAATTCAAACAGGATGCCGTAGCAGCTGGCAAAGGTCCCCCATATGCTCCTCGCGATGCCGGTCTAGGTGGATCGCCTGACATCCTGCCTGATGTCCCCGTCGCAGTCATTTTCCTCGTTTTCTATCTAGTGTTCGGTGTTATTCACATTAAGATCTTCAAAAGTAATAAGCATCGTGGCCACAAGTTCATCTTCAATGGCGCCATCTTAGGTAGGCTATCTTGACCATCACCCCGATACACTGTCGACTTACGCGCTATAGGTCTTTGCAAAATTCGAATCATCACCATGATCTTACGTATCGCGTGGGCCAACTATCCTAGAGATGTCGGCCTTGCTATTGCAGCAAACATCTTTACTTATGTCGGCACCATCATCTTATACATGGTCAACTGGTTCTTCGCTCAACGTATCATCCGCGCCCAACACCCCAGCCTAGGATGGTCGACACAGTACCGCCTCTTCCATAGAGGTGGACTTGTTCTTTTGGTCTTCACCTTGCTCGGTCTCATCGTAAGCCAAATCTGGAAATTCTTCACCCTTACACACATGAAGCAAGATGCCTTCCGAGTCCTCTTCCTGATCGCCCAGACATATGCCACAGCCTTTTGTTTCGCACCCGCCATTCTGGTTGCTCTTTCGCTTCTTATTCCGCGTACCGAGGTTGAGAAATTTGGTGCTGGACGACTACGGTACAACATTACGATTCTTGTCATCTCGGTATGCATTCTGTCGGTCGGACAAGTGTTCCGTTGCGTTTTGGCCTGGATCCCGCCAACCTTGATGATCGATGTTCAACGTGGAAACGTGGCGATACCCTGGTATCTTTCCAAGGCTAGCTTCTACTGCTTCAACTTCCTCACTGAAATTCTGGTCGTCATGCTGTTTGCCGTCGTCCGCGTTGATCTACGCTTCTACGTACCAAACGGCGCCAACAAGGAAGGAGACTATTCCAAGAGTCGCCTTGATTTCCATAACGATGATGAGAAGACCCCGGTTGAAGAGAATTGCACAAAAGAGCCCATGATCCACCAAAATGACTCGAACCAGACGCTGCACCGGTACCAGTCTTCTGTATTTGAGGATACCCAGACACTTGCCGACTCGTTAAGATATCCGCACTCGACTCTAGAGGTTGACGAAAAGACTGGTAGCTGGAAGGTGAAACGTCTTTCGACGGATTCAGGAAGAGGTCCACATGGTGCAATGCTAGCGTCTAGATCAGCTCTACATTCAGGTCCCTCAAAGTCAACGCTGAACACGACTGCATCCGGGAGCACATCAAATGACAGAAACTTCCGCTCAAATAACAGTACACCTCCAGTTCCAGAACTACCGGCCGAATGGCCATTGCCTGATGCCGCGCCGCCACAGGGCACAAGTCCAGTTTTAGAGCACCCAAATATGCTATCTCACAAGGTTGTAACTCGCAAACAGACTTTTGAGCTGGAGAACCACGAGCTGAACAACGTCGACGTGGGCGATGCAGTTACGGATGCACTGGCGAGGCTAGAAATGAACAGTGACAGGAAAAAGGCCAAAGCACCCATGAAACCACCACTCGCTCACTACCGGACCAAGACGCCCATACCAGCATACAAACCCACATCTGCTATGAAATCCGTAGCAGAAAATCACTCGAATCTCCCGAAATCCGCAAAATACACCTTCTACCAACCACCTAAAGAGCCCGTCCGCCACCGAGCCAGCAGTACACCCCTCTCCTCTCCCCGTTATTCCGAGGATGACTACCTCCCGGACCTCCCAAAAACGCACCGAGCCGGCCGCTCAGTTTCCATCTCGCACCAACCAGCTAACCTCTCCACAAGCCCCAGCCTGGAAATCATTTCCCTCCTCAACACAATGAGCGGCCCCCAATCCCGTATAATCGACGCCTCGCTCCTCCGCGAACCCCTCACAGCAAACCCGACACATCTCGAACGCAGTCCCATATTAGTATCTCAAACACCACCTCGACCCCAGCACCACAACAACCACTCCTCTAGTTCGAATCCCAAACCCAACCCTTACACCCCTCCCAACCGCACAATCCCAAATACTACCAGTAACAATAACAACTCGCATTTCCTGCGCCCAGACCGCGACGACGCCTCTTCCACCTCATCCTCAACCCACGACAGACCGTACACCCAAACAAGTTCAAATTACAGTCACGAGTACAGTCCATCAAGTATAGATACCGCCGAGAAAGCCTGGGCCCAGGAGGAATTTCGAAGATTTAGTTCCGAACCCCTTGCTGTGTCTTCGACGGCGGGCATGGCGCGCGCGGCCAGTCAGTTGCGACGCGTTTAGTCGATATGCTGAGTGGAGGGGGTGGGACGTCTAATTAAAACCACCCACTCCCCCGTTTTTTTTTCATTTAGTAGTGGTTATCCCCCGTGGTTTGGGGGTGGTTGGATATATGCTCTAACTACTTTACGTACAATCCTTTTTTTTGACGGACTGACTCACTGCCTTTCCCATATTTTGGCTGGTGGAAAAGGTACTTTACATTCTCCCTCTTGGAGGTGGCTTTCTTTTTCGTTCTTTCGTTCTTGAATTCTCCCTTATCATGATTCTGGGGAGGGCGGTGTTGGATTATGTTTGGTTTCTTTTTTGGAGATGTACACATGACGCTTTTGGTCGACGTCTCTCTTTCTCTCTCACACATGTTTCCTTACTTTTTCTTTATCGAGGTTTTGCTTTGGGGAGGATGGGATTTAGGTTGGGAAAAAAGGGGAAAAGGCAAATATTCCCCGTCATGCACTCATTCGATCTCTTTTCTTTTTTTCTTTTTTTTTCTTTGTGTATATCATGGTTGGGATGGGATGAGATAGGATGGATAGGGATGGGATGAGATAGGATGGATAGGGATGGGATGAGATAGGATGGATAGGGATGNGGGATGGGATGAGATAGGATGGATAGGGATGGGATGAGATAGGATGGATAGGGATGGGATGAGATAGGATGGATAGGGATGATACAAAAGGGCTGATTACTGTACAGTTTTCCTTTACTTGATTTTTTTGAGGGGGTATATGAGGTTTTACATACCCGTAGTTTGGACATCACAAGAGACTTTTTTTTCTTTGTAAGGCTTACGTACATGGCGTATGAATGGAAATGCGATCTTACCCATCATAAGAATTTACAAATGCCAAAAAACATCACACACGCTACATTTTCATCATGATTCGAACGACATGTCATGATGATAATTTCGTATCGTATTCGGTGTACACTCATGCCCATGCATGCCAACATTTCTTATCTCTGCGTTTCACTTACTCAACCACCACCACCACCACGACAACGTTCATCTCCCCACTATGCAAATTACCTATTACAGCTACTTGGGCGTCGTTACCACACCTTCATACTCGCGACTTGCTATGTAATCCAGAGTGCGCTGGAAATGTTTACGGGGGTTCTCGAGGGAAGAAGCGTTTTCGTTTGATTGCAGATTTGAGTGGATGAGTTCGATGAGGCCGTTGAGGTATTTGGTTGTAACCTAGTCTTCGTGTTAGAAAATAGTGGTTTGAATTGGATCGGAAGAGAAAAATTACGGCTTCGTTTTCTTGGTCAAAGTAGTAGACGTATCTGTTTAGGATCTCGACGAAGAGCTCAACGGATACGGCGGCGTCCATGCAGGCGTCGGCGACACGGAGCGCTCGTTGTAAGCATTCGAGGACGCGCTTGCCGTCGCGGTAGAGCTGGGTTTGTTAGTACCAGTGCCATACATGAACCTGATTACAAGCCACTTACGTCCTTGGGGTCCTCCTCACCCAGCGCCCGAATCTCGGTCGCCCACCATAGGTGGCTTGCAAGGTACACAGCGCGGCATTGATCCGGCTTCTTTAGCAGCTTGCTGCCGTGTAGCGCGCACTTGGTAATCAGGGTATCGTAATTCTCCTTTCCAAAATTCCTTGTGGTGTGCAAGCCGCTTGCAATGACACATACAGCCTGGAACTGTGCTCTTGAATCACTAATAGCCTCCTCGTAGATTGTAAATGCTTGTGCAAAAAATTCGTACGCGACCTCTTCGAAGCCGCTCTGGTCTGCGACCTGACCACAAGCAACAAAGAGGCGAAGGGAAAGGTCTGCGGAGCCTGTGACCCGAGTGTACAGCGTCGAGAGGGTGTTGTGCATAAACTTGTAAAGAGCCGATGACTGCGACTGCCAGTTGTCTTCAAAGTGTTCGCGCTTCTTGTACTGGCGAGCAAGCTTGAGTGACGCTGTAATGATAGCAGGAGATGTGTACTTGACGCGCTCGTTGCCGTCGGCAAAGGCCTTTCGCGCGGTCTGCAGGAGCTGAGTAGTGTTAGTCTTTCTGAACTAGAGGAAACCCTAGTCGAACATACCTTGAATTGGGTATCGTTGTCTTTGCCATGGATCAGATGTACTATCCGCGCGAGCCAACCCTGTTCTTCTATTGTCTCCTCCGTCTCCTGTGCCCTTCTCTGGATTGGCCCACCTGGGTATCCTTGCGCTTGTTGTATGCCTTCTCTAATTAAGACTTTCAAAATCTCCAATACGCTTTCGAGGTTCTCTGCTGTTGCAATGGAAGTTTGGTTTCGCATGAGACTTCTTGCTACCTCGCCTGCTACAGCTCTTCGAGTCGGGTATGGTTGTGAGTGTAGGAGCGGGATGAAGTTTGGTAACGCTAGAGCGGTGAAGAGCGAGATGTAGGTCTTGATGGGTGAAAGAAGGAGACTGAGGATTTGGCTCTGGGTAGCCTGCGAGTGTAGGTCTGCGCTGTTCTGGTATTCGGCAACTTTTTGGTTTGCAAATGTCAAAACTTGGTCAATGTAATCGAGCCGTTCAGGATAGATGTTCCTGTTGGAGTTAGTACGCAATGAGTAGAATGAATCACTGAGACCTACAGCGCAAGATTTGCCAGTGACACCAGCAGTCCAATGGTGTCTTGTATTGGCAGTCGCTGCATCTTCACCAATGTCTGCACCTGCTCGTTGAATATCTCAAAAAGCTTGACATTGTTCGGTATTCCCCGTTTCTTCTCAATCTCCCCGTCTGCCTCTGTCGCTGGAGTCTCTTCAGCAGGTGCCTTGGCAGGGGTTGACGAGTCTTCTGTGGTTTCTTCTGTGGTCTCTTCCGTGGATGGTTGCGTTTCTGATGTTTCTGAAGAGTTGCCATTTTGCTGTGTCGGCGCAGGTTCCGGTTCAGCTGCCTTGTTTTCCTTTGCTGTCCGCATCTGCTCCAAAAGGTGTGCTATCGATTCCTCTTCTGTTTTCTTGCGCTGTTCTGGACTTTCCGACTCGGCTTCTCTTTGTGCATACGACGACAATCGGTCCATAAGGCCGACGACAATGGCCTTGACGTTGACTTGCGGGTTTAAGCGTGCGACGGCAGAAAGGAACTGATCGAGGGTGTGAAGGTGGAACTCATCTGGGAAGACCTGGGTGACAACTGGAGTCTGTTAGCTTTCGGCTCACATATCCTAGGGTCCAAGACATACCTTCGAGGAGATATTCTTGCGCAAGCACGTCCCGGCACTGGACAATCTGCTCAAGCAGCGGGTTGAGAATCTTCTTATAGTTGTCTAGATCGACCAGCTGGCTCAAACGGACCAAGTTGCTGCCGACCAAAAGTTGCAGTTCTTGTCGCTCCTTAGTCCGCTGCTCCCGCTCCCTCGAGTGTCCCTGGTGCTGCAGGCGGACCCACAGCTTGTTCATCTCGACGAAGTTTGTGAGAATGAAGCTGATGGAATCCTGCAGGTTGCCCTCCGGCCCATCACCATCGCCCGAGGGAAGGTGGTCGCGGGCCTGGCCGGCAAGGTAGTAGCGCAGGAAGAGGCCACGGACGGGGTGCTGAACCCCGCGACTCATCTCCATCATGTCCTTCATGATCTCCTTGACGGGCGCATCTTCAATGGCCATGTAGACGGTACCGACGGTGACCATGAGATAGAGGCGGGGGATGATGTTGCCGGCATACTGGACCAGCTCATAGAGGTCGGCAAGGTGGTTGACTGGGTGGTTCTCACGCAAGTAGACGGCCAGGTGGCGCAGGGCATCGAAGACGGCCATGTATAGCTCATAGTACTGTTTGGGGCCGAGGCTGCTGGTGCGCAGTTCTGAGACGAGGGTCGAGCTGCGCAAGAGGATCGTCAGCATTGCTTGGGGACATAGCAGGGCAGTTGTAGCAGTTGCTACATGCAAGCCATAGTCTATATGTTCATGTATTGCTTCACTCATGAGCCATGCGCGTACCTGCACTTGAGCGCATCCATCAACTTGCCCGGCGTCTCGAGACAGCGCCGCATGAGCATCGTCTGCTGGCGCACCACGGCGAGGGCATCTTCAAGCAGCCTGGCCTGGTCTTCTACGGGGGGCGGCGACGCCATTGTGTGTATCCAGGCGAGCGGGTAGTCCGGGGTTGTGGAGTGGAGAGCTCGTCGTGGCTATACCAACCGCCGCCTTGGGCGCACCCGTTTGCCAAGCAATCATGACAGGGATGCCATCTTCTCCTTGGACCTGCGTCATCATCATCATCCCTCGGTCCTCGCTGTTCCGTACCAGTCCATCAGCACATTGCTCTTCAACACACACATGCAGCCGTGGAATCATTGTCATTCATCTCAGCTATCCGTCTAGTCAAACTACATAATACATGCGGCCCAAAGGACCTATCCGTCGCTACAATTATTCCCAGAACGCCTAACCCATGTGTCTCCATACATACTTGTCTGCTGCACTAGCGTATCGACATGCGACCATTACTCCTTCGTCGTTAAACCACTGCCAAAGAACAGAAACAGACAGTTGAGCCAGCCTACCGCCTAACTTGGGAGTAAGAAGAAAAGGAACCATCCAGCATCTAGCTTAAGCCGCAGGCGGCGCTGTTGGAGCAGCCACGACATCACCCTCGAATGTCTTTATCCTGTAGTTGGTGTGCCACATGCCGTTGTCATAGTACTCTGTAGGGCCGTCGTCCTCGGAGACAGTGACGGTAATGAAGATTGGCTTTGGCGTCTCGATTGGCATCGATGTGCTGTTTGATGACACGCTCGTGGGCGTGGTCGGTATGGAAATTGGAGGTGTCGAAGAAATAGGAGTTGATGTCGAAGAGGCCGACAAGGAACTCGACGATGACACTGCCACGCTGCTTGAGCTTGGGCAGGGGGTAGGTGCAGGCGCTGGGTTTGGTTTGACGACTGTCGCCGTCACCTCTCTAGTGACAGTCTCTCCTGGGACAACAACCTCAACGGTCGTTGTCGTCTTGATGGTTGAAGTTGGCGTCGCAGATGTCTCGGTCGAATCTCCACCAACATTGACAACCGCATAACTCTTGCTCCTCGCGTCGAGCTTTCCTGCTCCTGCCGAGTCAAAGGGTCGTCCACTGGCGAGTGTCGAGAAAAGAGCGGCCAGTGCCAGAGTCCGCTTGTTGAAAAGCATAGTGTTGGTAAACAAAGGAAGGTGTATGAACAAGTCCGAAGGCTGGCTGTCGTGAAGAAGTGTCGATCACGGCTTGAATCTCGGCTGGTACTGAAAGAGATCGTTGTGAAAACTACCAGGTCGGTATTCGTATTTGAGATCCATATTCGCCTAGCCGTTGGGTTGCGTAATTTCTAGCAGGTTGTAAATGTGGAGGTTGGTGATGGCTGGGATGGTCCGTGCATTCTAGTAGGACCAGCCTAGAACCACCATCACCCAAACCGCCAACACTGCCATCCTGGAATTTCTTGCGAAGCCCGTTTTACCCGGGAGGAATGACCTGATCATTCGTCACCGCGCGTTGATTGGCGTGCAAAAAGAATCAGATTACGTTGCGCGCGGCTCAGCACTACGATGTAGTCATCACGCGCCATCAGTCGCCCTTCCACCCCCTGCATCCCTGTCTTTATTATATGTATGCTTAGGTCGCAGCACATTACTAAGTTACGCCTAAAGTCTGTCAGCTTTCTCCTTGACACATACTCTAGCCGGTAATGAACTTCCGGCATACTTGACAATTACAGTTTGCGCTTCAAATACGCTCTCTCAACTTGCCGGAACAGTCCAAAGCATCCAACGCCTAGTCTTAAGAATCTTTGGTAATCCTGCCACATGACTTTACAGATATCTCGTGTCGTACGGCTAATCCAGCTTCGCTGAAGTCTCCAGTTGATTCTGGAGCTACTGGATTCAAGTGTGCTGATACAACAGCATGCTTGATCGTTGAGGAACACCGCGAAGAATAGTTGGTGCAGAAGAGGGCATTTCCCTTTTTTTTTCGTTCGGCTCTGCTGACTGAGGGCCCTTGCCCATCATTACCCATGTTGGTACAAAACTCTTGCTTTAGCGCTGTACATCTGGTTGACCTCATGGCATGACCAGCGCGTGCGAGCTACATGTGTGCATCCCCCTTTGAGTGTTAGATTTATTCTCAGACCAGAGAAGTTGAGTTCGGGCTGATATATATACATCTGAAGAATGTAGGCAGAGACTGTGCGAGAACTCGATCGGTATAAACTGTTTACTATGGATCGTATATCAAGGCTTTTGGGACATTTATAGCTCCTAGTATCTCTTTACTTTCGCTCAGAACTTTCTTGATCAACTTCTCGCCACGCTCTGAATACATGACAACCGAAAATCTAACACACTGTCAGCAAATGATGATATGGCTAGACTTTATCTTCGTGTGTACTTACGGGCGCACTCCCCAGTCACTCAAGAAGCCTCCATGGCTTTCTCGATCTGCAATCACCACTGCATGAACATACGTACTAGCACCCTCTTGCAGACTTCTACTAAAGAGAGTAAAGTACGCTGGGAGAATAAGATTGAATGAAGAGCTTGTATGCAAGGTCCGCCATATTTCCGTACTTCTAACTAGCCCCGGACAGGCCGTGTTAATGATAACCTTATCAGAGTCAACTAGCGCCGCGAGTCGTCTCACGAGAATCATTTGGAGCAACTTTTCACGCGCATACCACTTGGTCACATGGTACTTTTCGTTAAACTGCGGTAAAATTGCTTCCTCGTGGTCGAAATCCGCGAAATATGCAGTTGTAGATGTCACTACTGTGAGCCTAGCCGGCTTGCCAGCCAGTCCCCCTTTGGCTTTCAGTATCGGCAGAAGAAGTACAGCCAGCATGATTGTTGAGAGGTAGTTTACTTGGAAAGTCTGCTCTTTTCCTGTCTTGGGAGAAATGACACGGTCCTTGTTCTGCACCCCGACGTTGAGAATAGCGATATCAAGCCTACACAGCGCCTGGCATCTTGTAGCAAAGGCGGAGATGGACTCGGGATCCTCCATATCTAGGATCCAAACCTCGACTCGGGCGTATGGAAACTCATTACGAAGAGCCTCTGCTGCGAGGTTACCTTTGGCTTCTAACCGGATGGCTAAGATGAGACGAGTGAGGTCCAGCTGGAGGAGCTGGCGTGCCGCCTCAAGTCCTAGACCGGTGTTTAAGCCGGTGATAATGGCTGCCTGGCCGTCGAGTTTGACTCCTGCTGCAATCGGAGGCGGGTGCATGAATAGTTGGCGGTATACAAAACCTACGCCACTTTGAAAAATGAGGCGGCTGTAGACTTGCTCCCAAAAGGACATCTTGAATGGATTGAACTGAACCTCCGGGATGCGTTGTACGATTCATCGGTGGAGTATCTTACGATTTTACTAACTTTGTTAGCAGCTGTGAGTCCTAGGAAGTCCCATACCCGAATTTGCTAGGTTGGAACGCCTGAATCGTTTTCGTAAGCACCCTGATCAATTTCTCCGACTTATAGCCTAATGATATATACTGATCTCCGGTCCATTACGATCAGTAGATCCTTGAAGCCGCTATGTTCATATAGTAGTTAGGTACATATATAGCAGGGCCCCACTAAGAAATCCCCGGCTCATACGTACTAGTAAATCTAAAGCCCCCAATTCACGACCCAATCGGGGATTACCTTGAAGCATTTTCGGATCTTTCCAAGATCACATGACAGATACAGTCTAGTGGTTCAAGCAGGGTGCCATTTACATCGGAATACCTCACCTCGTAACACTCGCGCTTCAAGTTTTGACGCATTCAATGCCTCGGTGATCATTTGTCTCGTGTAGGTAGACTACCAACAAACATATGACTGCAAATTTAGGACCTCCTTTCAGAGGGCCGGCCCTTATCATCAAACATGTGTTTGAACCAATAGCCACCGGTCTAATTCTCGGCTTGCTGTTATACACACCGGAATGTATGCGGAGAAGCGCCCTGGAATCAACATTTTTCTCACATATCAACAAACCTACACACTCCCATACGCATATTGGGTTTTCTAGCTACAGTTGGTGTCATCAGGAAGATCAATCCTACTCTAAACTCATGAGCTACAAACAACTGGCAGATATGTGCAGGTCATGGCTGGAGCTGGAACTCTGAAATTGCAGTCGTTATCGGAGGATGCAGTGGAATCGGAAAGGCTGTAGCAGTGCTCGACACACAAGACGCACTTCAACACGAAAATCCTCTCGCATTGGCGACTAGTTCAGCAGTTCATGCCAGACATGGTGGCGAAGAACAAAGGCCACATCGCGACGGTGGCGAGCGTCGACTCGTTCCTAACGAACTCGGCCAATGCAGACTAAGTAGCGACTAAGACTGCAGCACTTTCATTCCACGAGGGCCTTACGAGCGAGTTGAAGATCTAGTATCACGCGTCTGGTGTCAAGACTTTGATTGTGCATCCTAGTTGAGTGCGCACGCCGTTGATCAAGGAGCCAATATTGAAGAGTGTCCAAGACCCAAAGCTTCTTGAGAGCATATTGGGGCCGGAGGAGGTAGCAGAGGTTATTGTGAAGCAGATTCTTAGCAGACATGGTACTCAGCTCTTTATTCCAAGTCCTGCGGCACCCATCTCATGGCTGAAGGGGTTTCCGAATTGGGTTCAGGAGTTTGTTAGGGAAGGGTTTGGAAGGACAAGTGCTATTACTGGTGGCTCAGTGGTCGCGTACTAGACATGAAGCGCTGATATGAACGTGTACTACGGTATAAATACCGAATCAGCTACCCCACTCTTTTGAAAATCACCACTAGGTATTTTACTTACTGGCATTTAATATCCGAGACTAGTGCTGGATAGTACTAGGGATCTTACATGTGCTAGAATTGTGGGTCCCCTCCCAGCATCGGACACCGACTCGCATTCCGTTATGTGTTTAACAATGCAAGGGAACCCAGTGAATCCCCTATAATGATGGGTGCGCTCACCTGCAGACGTGTAGTCACTCGTCAGATTCTAGTAGTAAGCTCAGCAAAACTGACCTGTACTCCTGTATTAGAGCACTATTATAGCTTGTTGTATATAGATCCTTGGCTTTGTAGACTTATTTAACATCATCACTCAGTTGTGAATTATTGAAACTGTTCATTACTTTTCATTTCAGTTTCATATATTCAGTAATTCAATATGGTTGCCCAATTCTCCCTAGCGGAGACGCCAACCGGCAAGTATTTTGCCTCCATGGTCGAGCTGGGTATAATGCATGTCTTTGTCGAGCATAGTATCTTCGACGCAATCCCAGAGGAAGGAATATCGCTTGAGGACCTTGCGGAACAGCTGGGTATTGAGTATAACCTCATTGAGCGTTTCACGGCTTTCCTCATCTCAATCGACGTGCTAAGATCACCAGCACCCGGCCATGTGGCTCATACACCAACATCAAAGGCTTTCACAGACGCCCGTATTGGGCAATTCTACACGTACCTCTTCGACTTCTTCATGGGACCAACAACACAGTGGCCTGGCTACTTCGCAGCGAATGGGCTCGCTGAACCGCCTAGGTCAAATCGCTCGCCGGGTGGGTTTGAGATGGGCATGCCTGATAAGACGGCGTACGAGATCATGATGGCGATCCCGGGGTTAGAGACCAAGATGAATGGCGCCATGGCTATTGATAGCGGTATCTCTATCACAGGAGTATATGATTTTAGCTGGGTGAGCGCTTATGCAGCGGGAAATGCTGATAGGGAGCTCATCGTTGATATCGCTGGAGGCAAGGGCCAAGCATTGAAGGTGATTTTGGAGGAGTCGCCAGCGATTCCTGCAGCTAGATGTGTTTTGCAGGATCAGCCGCATGTTATTGCTGAGGCTGTAGAAGAGCATAAAGATTCTACCGTTTTGGGCCCAGTAAAAAAGATCGGACACAGCATCTTTGAAGAACAACCGGTTAAAGGTATGAAACCGAGGTCTTCCCTCTTCTCGAGATGTAACCTCCGTGTTGGGAATCAAAACAACTGACGCTTCTAGGCGCACTTGTGTACTACATACGGCGGGATTTGAACGACTGGTCCGAATTCGAAGTTCTTCAGATCTTGAAGAACATACGCACAGCCTGTGCGGACGACTCGCGCGTACTCATTGCAGAGTACTTACGTCTCGAAGATCCAAGTGTCTACACTAGCACTGTCGACATGTTCAGTTTGAATATTGACGGCAAGGTGCGTAGCGAGAAAGCGTTTTATGAGCTTGCTGCGCAGGCTGGGCTGAAGATTGTGTCAGTGACGAAGCACGAAAAGACGGAGTCAGCCGTAGTTGAGATGATTCCAATTTAGTTTGCAAGTTGTAATGAAAGCATCCATAAATTGACAGCTATGAAGGAAAAGTTTTGGTACATAAGATTGCCTCGATTGATCCTTAGGTTCATTTTGGCAGTGCATTGAGTAAACAGGATCGCCGCGGTGGATCCTTGGATATGTTTTGACAGGTGCATCGTGACATGCAAACGTGGAATTACGGCCGAAGTAGGAGCGAGATTTCGGTCCTTAGTAATCTAACAACGACAGTTCGTAAGTATCCATGCCTAGTATATCGCTTAGTTACATATAATACTAATTCGTACAGGATAAAGAGATAGTTGCTCCAGAGGTACTGCATGTACATAGCTACAATAGGTATTCGAGATGAAGTTCAGGATTATGGTGCACCAGCACAATATTGCATCGTCTTTCGCATACAGCTTCAAAGTGGAAAATACATTATGTCTATAACCATCTCTAAACTCTATGAAGGAAAGACGGTAGCAGCCAGCATCTAATGTCCATTCGCTCCGTTCTCCCTATTCTCCCCATTCTCACCGGCCTTCTTGCTTGTTCCATTTGAAAAACCCGGCCTGGGGTTTCCCTCAAACTCCTTTGCAGCCTTCCATCCTTGCTCCAACGAATTCGCCATCAGCCTCGTCGTGCCCCAAACGTCGAACTGGACAGCGATAGCGCGCATGCCGGTTTGAATAGCCATAGGTAGTTGCTCTAGGCTCATGACACCACTGTAAAGACACGGAATGTTAGCCAAACATAGTACACTTAAGAAGAAATGAAGCAGGGAAAGGAAGATTTCGTACCCGAAGATCGGCAAATCATTCTTCGCAGCAACAGCATTGAACTTGGCCATGGCCTCAAGAAATTTGGGTTCAGGTTGGCCAGCCAATACAGTGTTGATATCCATTCCAGCATCGATCATAAAATCGCCCGGACCAAACATGAGTCCGGAAATGCCTGGTACGGCAGCAATCTCCTCGGCATTCTCAAGGCCCTTGAGCGATTCGATTTGTGGGATGAGACAAACGTGGTTGTTTGCAGTTTGGACGTTGTAAGGGTCATTTGGGTACAGGGATTTGGTTAGGCCAGGGGTGAAGGTCCATGGGGAGAATGAGCGGTGGCCTTTTCCGTCTGTTTGAGAATCGTGTTATCATGGCTACTCTTGAGAAAAAGAAATGGTGGGGGTTAGGGCGATAAGGCAAGGGATGAAGAAAGTGTTGAGAGAGGAGAAACTAACCACCAAAGTACATCTCCTTGATGAACTGCCGGACTTCATCTGCAGACTCGACGTGGGGAATCACGATACCAGCGCAGCCAGCATCGAGTGCAGTAGTGAGACTGATTTCATCGCGTTTGGGTACACGGCAAATGACCATTGATTTTCCTTCAGAGTGGTGCTGTGCAGCGTGTATACAACTTTCGTTCCTTTATTAGCAAATTGCTTCTCATTCATCATCTGCTAAAAAGCTTACTCGTGCAATGTCAACCGATCAAACATGCCATGCTCAACATCCATCCAGATGAAATCTGGCTTCGTGCTTGCAATAAGCTTGGTCACAAACGTGCTGGGAATACCCTGTGCAATGCCCATGAGACTCTTGCTTGCATCGGCCTGTGCATCTTTCAGTGCCTGGCGAAGATTGGCAGGCTGTGTGAGGGAAGCTGCGCGGTAGGGCGCGTGAGTGTGTAGCGAGGGTTGCTCGCTGTATGGAGTAAAAGCAGCCATATTGAGGAAATTGAGAAGTGGGGAAATCTGTGGAGAGCAAAAAACGATATTCTGGAGGAGGATGTCAAGTACAATTAACGCACGGGTGATCTGGGCTGCGTATGAGAGATTTCCCAACGACCTTTATACGTGCCGAACATAGTTCCCCACTGATTGACATGCAGAAGAAATGTAACCGCGCCACATCGCACTTCCACGACACGCGGTTGGATTCGATTGTGGATACCTTTGTCAACGGTGCCAACGGATTTAGCGGAACTCAGTAGTACCATCGCGCGGAGCGAACAAGTACTAGACCCAAATCAAGCGCTTCTTGCCTAACATGTAGATTGCCTAACATCAACCCTCGCTCCTAAGAGGCAGGGCGTTTGCTGACGATATTAGGAGAATTGGTAATGGCTCAAGGGGATAACCAGAATAGCGCGTATGCTAAGGCGGAAGCATGTTCCGCAATGGTGGCTTTGAGGCAGACGTATTACTGCTGATGTAAGAGCTTTTGGGTTTTAGCACACGATTGATCATGTAACTAGTCATCAAAGAGGCTGACTGATGTAAAGTATGTTGCCTCAATGTTCCCGAATGGGGCTTGGTACACGCATGTGGTGTGCCGCGGATGAAGAACGCGCGCATAGCCACAAGGCAGCAAGAAATTAAAACCGGGATCGGATTGTGCTTATGTAACTCGACTGACTTTTGGACGAATAACAATAGATGGAAGCGATGTATGCGGATCCATAAGCGAAATTGTACTACATATCGGCCATAACACCTAACTCCGATCTCCAAGCCACGATAGGGTATCGAAGCGCTGACCGTGGAGTCCGGTCGAATGTGGAACAAAATAGTAACTTCGCTGTTAGGAATCGTGCTAACTCCGTCTGACAGTAACCATGGCGAGGTGCCCAAGTGACACCGTGTGAGACCATTGATATCGGATGTAGAGACGCAGGCAGTCAGATCGATTACAACGGTTTCGTGGCGGATCGATCCCTTGTAAACCACTCGCACACTATCAAGTCAGCTGTAGTGGTGCCAATTTTAAGCATGTTTCAGACTGACCTGGGATTGACGGCATTCGTGGAGCATATATGCTTTGAGATGGGTTGCTCTGCGATGTGCTCGGCATCCTTGTCACAGTAACCTCGATAATATCCTTCTCCAAGAGTTCGAAATCTATGCTGTCCCTTTCCATCTCTTCTGAGGAAAACGTTCCCTTATCGTCTTGTCGCCTCCTGCGGTTTGGAATGTCCATGAGGGTAGCGGCGAGAATTATGAGGCTGAGAACGGCTATCACGCCACCAATTGAAACAAAAACAATAGACATGGTGGAGATGCCATCCCATGAGCCGAGATCCATGTTGGTGGATGATGGGTAGTTTAGATGAGATGGTGTGCGGTTCGAAATCAAGTTGGAGACTGAAGAACCGTCTGAGTTCTTTATACAAGAAATTGCGTGATACTCTATCAAGAAAAGATTACTAAATCGAAAAATAAGAAAACAAGTCTAATTGCCAGAAGAGGGCGATACTTTGAAAACAATGTTGCGGGTCAACACCATAAGTGCGAAGACGCCTTCCTTATAGACAACACTTCCCTTCTCTGCGTGTTTTCCTACTCTCATCACCCAGAGCAACAAAGTATAAGATGCCCATCGGGCCCGTTCGGCCGTTGGGTCGTTTACGAAATAGCAAAACTTCAGCTGGTGGGTGGCTTGTCCGCCACACCAACGTGACAGAACCCCATCTCTTTCCAAGCTGGCAACGTCAGCTCCACGTCTGGGCGGCAGAAACCTGCTTTTTTTATATCCTAGCAGCTAGGCTACTGCACAGATATCATTGTCGACTACTCCAATCAGGATTTGATACCTCGTGGCTACGCATGCTCCTGTGCGCTCAGGGGCGCTGCCTAGTAATGAACGCTAACGCAATACGGATATTTGGCTTTTGTGGCAGCATCGATTTGTATGCTTTTTTCTTTCTTTCCTAGACTCACTAGCCTTATTGCGTAGTAAGCGAGGGTTTCGTTTTGATGCACGTCGCTCAATAGCATCCTTGGCCAGCATCCAGCTCACATTTAACTTGGCATGAGCCATGCTGGTTGATGAGGAGCTGCAAAGGCAGTTTCCTTTATAGTTCTATACTCTGCAGATGAGAGCAGAGACTGGAGCCAACGATTTGACAGTAAGATGTTATATCCTTCTAATGGCGAACTGTTATTGTTAGTGATTGCGTTGCCTCGAGCGTTCGCTTAGAGTTGCTGGTGCACCCGCAGTGTTCCAGAAAGACGCAAGTGTGGGTAGGTAGACGTAGCATGTTGATTGCATCAGATGAACCCCATGGGGCGTTTTCAAATGTGGTTCCAACGCCATGGTAGTACCCGTCGGTATGGTTCGCTCGCAATTACTGGTGCGGGGAATCGTATGATCCCAGGCCGGTTTCATACGCAAGTTCATCCTGCTACGTGGCTGACAGGTCCTGCGCACTCAAGGCCTTTTACTAACGTATTATCAAGACAAATGCGTATGCTGATCTTGATATTGGAACCATTGTCAGCATTTACTGGTGACTCAGCGGCGCGCATGTGTCATTGTCTCTAGCCAGGTAGTTGTGATAAGTTACCGAAAATATTCAACGAGATATCTTCTCCTCAAATCATGAAAAAGAAATTCCTGGTGTAGATCTAAATTGTATACACGTAGCTAGGCTGTGAACATTCGAGAAGGGGTTTAGGACGCTGCTGTCCGTTAAGCTACAGGACCCGGCCCGTACCACCCCTTCCCGTATGCAATATGCACCCTGCCGGTCGGTACATTACTTTTCGAGTCCGCAACCTGCATGCGCTCAATACCTGCATCCAGTTTAAGTCCGATGCTCAGCGGAATTAGGATTTCACAATGAATAATGAATATAGCAAAACTGGTCATCATACTGTTCATACTTTGTGTCAACGTAATGATGAATTGCTCTGGGGTTGGCCCACTGTGTATACATCTGAAGAGCAGGTTCGCTCGACAGTGCGGCTAAATGCTTCCGGAATCATTATAAGTACTCACTCTCCGGAAAGTTTAGGGTTCCCAGGAGCCAATGCGCAACCGAAGATCTGAGTTCATCTGAAAATCAGCCAATTTTTCATGGCTTCCTTTTTGAATATCAGAGGGCCGTGAATGCCTCTCAGCCTACCAACTCCACGCCAAAGTGGCCGAGTAAACCATTGTTTCCATGCTGAAGGACTTGCCCCTTGCACAAGCACCAGTTGGCGGAGAATATCTCTTAGAACCAGGGTTTCTTTTGTTATTACGTCGTTGCTTTCGTGGTTCACAACCCTTTTCGTAATACTCAGTTTTGTAGTAACGTGTGGTAGTGCACATGATTCTGAGGTTCTGATACTGAACGCGCACTTCTGACTGACATCTGCTCCTCGTGCTGATTGCGCATGGATATAAAACCCGTGTCGATCTGCATTAGCTTGAGCCGGCGAAGTGTTCCGAGTTTTGGTGCACGAATAGAAAACGGGCCAGAAACCCATATCATGTGAGAGTGGAGACACCGAGCTTGGATACAAGGGTCAAAACTCAGATTAATCGCTCAATAAAAACAAAAGAAAGGGGTCACAGCATGTTTCAATTTAAGCTCCAGCCGTCAGAGCGGCCCAAAAGATCGTCAAGCGTGCACAATTGTTGAGAGGGTCTGAGAACAGGGGAGTTGAGATAGGGCTTGACGGCCGTACTTTGAAGGGTAACCAGGGAAAGCTGCGAGTGGTTATAGAACAAAAGCTTGTACACAGCTGCTCGTCTGCCCACTAATGGTAATAACAATGGAAACTGGCCATGATCAGCTAAATGTTCGGCCGAAGCGCGTAACAGAAGAAACCTTCCCCCATGTGTTCATATCTTAATATCAAAGCTCGTCCCACAGCCACAACTACTCGTTGCCCCCGGTATGCCTGTTATCTTGAACTGGCTGCCTATCAATTCCATTGTGTAATCCACTGTGCTCCCATTCAGCAATTCCAGGCTGGACTCATCGATGACAACCTTCTCTCCCTTCTCCCCTTCGAATACAGTATCTTCCTCGGTAGGTGGATTCTTGGATAAGTCCGTTAGGTCCATAAGATATTGGAAACCATGGCAGCCACCGCTCTCAATTGTCACGCGCAGCGCAAGGTTTGGATTGTTATCGCCTGTTGATATCTTATAAAGGCGGTTCGATGCACGTGGTGCAATGGAAATCAACATTGGGTTGCCCGAGTCGTCAGCTCGTGGATTCTGGATTACATGGGCAGGCTTTGCGGTCGAGGCATCAGATGATGTGGCGAGAGCTCGTCGTGATATGCTTGGTGGCTGGATAAATGCTGAATTGTGTGCTGGGATACGTCTTGAGGCTTTGCATGGTAGGGCGGAAGGTGTAAGGAAGTCGAGATATAGCGACTGCGGAGTGGCGCGCGAGGCCGCGATTCTGCTATGCGGCCTCACAGATTGTGATAGGACTGTTGTGGGTGCAGTTACTTTTGGTGTAATAGTCCGTCTCGCTGCGCGCCAGCATGATACACACATGGTAGATGGAGATGCCATTGTTGCGATACCGAAGTAGTCCGAGAAGATGCCCGAGGTGGAGAGATCGAAGATCTGAGGTCATACCTAGGGATGTCACAATTCCCAGCACCAATCAACGCTGATTACTGCCTCGCGGTTCTGGACCGCTTAGTCATGAAACTACCCCCACCTTGTGCCACCGCCACCATCCATCGGGTGAGCCACCGGGTTGTTACAGCCCTACCCGTTCGAGCTATTTACTTATCGCGCCTGATGCTTACTTAAATAATCCCATTCAGCAGACGCTCTGATCTGTAACCTTGGTACCTCATGCACCGTGACTCAGCATAGCGCTGACGCTGCCTTCTTTGTCCCTCGCGACAATGCCTTACGGTCACAACCCTTACCTAGCGATACCGGAACCCGAACTTCGCGCCGAACAGTTTGCGCGACGCGAAGATGAAAAGGACGGATTGAGTAAGCTGAGGAATGAGTTCGTCATACCCACCAAGGGCGATCTGAGGAACCGCAATTATGGATTCCAGCGGAAAGAAAAAAATGCAAGTATGCGATCGGACGACAACGAGGAATCCATATACTTTTGCGGAAACTCTCTTGGGCTTCAACCGCGAAGAACAAAAGAATATATCAATCGTTATCTTGACACTTGGGCTTCAAAGGGCGTCTTTGGACATTTTACCAATTACGAAGGAGGCCTTCCGCCATGGCTACACATTGACGATGCAGTCAAAAACCAGGCAGCAAAAATTGTCGGGGCGCATCCCAGTGAAGTCGTCGTCATGGAGACATTGACTGCGAACCTGCACCTTTTGATGGCTAGTTTTTACCGTCCGACCAAGGACAGATGGAAGATCATTATCGAGGGCAAGGCATTCCCTAGCGACCATGTATGGTACTCAATCACAATTCAGTATGCACCAATGACTGACAACCCGATAGTATGCTGCTCTCTCGCAAATCGCACACCACAACCTTGATCCCTCCGCTTTGATCACCATCGATCCACCATCTCCCTCGTCGCCCTACCTCTCGAACGAGCACATCCTCTCCGTGATTTCACACCACGCCCCAAGTACTGCCCTCGTTCTTCTACCCGGCATCCAATTCTACTCCGGTCAATTCTTCGACATCGAGCTGATAACGCGTCACTGTCGATCATTGGGCATAACAGTAGGCTGGGACTTGGCGCATGCAATAGGAAATGTACCATTGAAGCTACACGACTGGAACGTTGACTTTGCAGCGTGGTGTAACTACAAATACATGAATGGCGGCCCAGGCACCATTGGCGGACTTTTCGTCCACGAGAGACACGGCAAGGTAGAAAGAACCCCCACACCCCGAACAAACGGCACAGGCAACGCATCAGAAAATAGCGCTCAACTATCATACCGCCCGCGCTTGAGTGGCTGGTGGGGAAGCGACAAGAGCAGCAGATTTCGCATGGACAACCAATTCGTCCCTATCACCGGCGCTAGCGGCTTCCAACTCAGCAACCCAAGCGCACTCGACATGACCTCCGTAATGGCGAGTTTAGACGTCTTCGCGCTCACTGACATGGAAGCTCTACGAGAACGCAGTCTCAGGCTGACCGCGTACCTCGAGGCCCGGCTACTCAAGTATCCAAATGGCGAACCACCGTACAAGATTATCACACCTGCGAATCCCATGGAGCGCGGCGCACAACTCAGCGTGCTTCTCAACCCAGGTTTATTGGACAAGGTTCAGCACTACATTGAGGAACGCGGTGTAGTAGTGGACGAACGCAAGCCTGACGTGCTGAGGGTTGCGCCAGCACCACTGTACAACTCCTTCCACGACATCCACCGCTTCATCACCATCTTCCACGAGGCTTGTCAAATGGCTTTGAAAAGCGGGGGTAGGACTGTCTCGTGCAATGATGCTGTTCCCAGAGGCATCGCTACTGTATAAAGGCAATTATTCTTGAGGGAGAGGCTCGCTTGGACAGTATTTACTCGTCAACAATAAACGAGCCACATAATTTTTAATATCATTATCCCCAGACATGTGCACATACACCCAGATCAAGAAAGCAAAAAGATTTGAACGACATGATTGCAGAATTCGTTGATTCAAAAAAGTGCTACACTATGCAACTGAGCGAAATCGTGACATGCTGACATCCTACCGTATGCAAACCTCATCATCTATAATACTTATGAAAACAGCTGTTGGTATCCCAAGCATACATCAAACCTGTTCATCATGCCTTGGGCACAAAGGAAAACAAGCTATCCATCTGTACCCATTGCCTTCCATTCTTTTCCAACCATTTCTCAACAACACTCTTCAGCGTATCAAATCTTTCCCTGTTAACTTCCGCCAACACTTTGATCTTCTCTCTTCTCTCCATATCTTCTGATTTGATGCCACCATCCATCTTGCCCGCACGATCAACGTCGAACAGAGACTGATAGTACAGAAGCTGATTCCACACGTCGCGTTCTTTGATCTCGTACGTCATCTTGCCCAAGCAGTCGCGAGCGAGACCCTTGGGACCCAAGCAGCGGTGTCCATAAACGGAGATACTGCGTGTGCGATTTGAACATTGTGGATCATCGCAGAGTACGTATCCCGCGTAGTAAGAGGCAACGACCTGGCGAATTGCAGACTCCAGCTGTGCTACGACACTGATGTTTTGCAAGGTCATACCGCAACCTTCAGCAGGGCACTGAACTCCACGGTGTGAGATTGTTTGTAACGACGCTGTAGTTGGTGAAGTCGGGGAAAGTCCCTGGAAAGGGAAGACAGTTGTACATGTCCGACAACGTAGCCAAAGTGGCGAGCAGGATTGGAAGCGTACCGAGTCTGGGATCTGTGACTCCAGAGGGTGAATCTCAGTCTCTTGTTGCGCGCCCCCAGAAACCGTGCTGACACGATATTTAGAGGTATCAAGTCCAAGACAGGCAGCAAGAAGCGTGATGTTTGTTCCGCTAATGGGCGCGCAAAGACGCTCCACCGGCGGCAGAATCTGTTTGTGGAGGTAGTAGTCGATATCTGGTTTCAGTCCGCTGTCAGGCTTCAGGACTTCATCGACCGGGTAGGCGTTTTTGGCTGCATTCTCAGCAGATCCAGAAGACTCTCCGGTAATGATAAAGCTCATGACATCCTTTGCCTTGACGTGTTTACCCTTGGCCATGAGGCGCAAAGCAACTTGCACCGAGGGCATGGAGTTGCCGTTGGGATACTCCTTCGGGTTCTTTCCGAGCTGGGTGTAGATGGTATACTTCCGAGCCGGAATAGCATACTCGCGCATTTGCTTGCTGAGCTCTCGGAGGTGATTGTGAATCTTCTCGACAACTACTTCAGGGTCCTCACCACTAAGAAGGAAGTTGAGTAGCTCCCTATGATCTGTTAGCTATGCACAGAAATCAATGATGACTACTAAAGCTCACGTCGATGTTTCCTTGGAGAGAGCGCAGTATTCTCTGCGCCTCATGTCGAGACCCTTAACTTCCAGTTTCTCGATGTACTTGCCATCCACAGGCACCATGTTGATAGCAGCATACTTCTTCTTTGCATGTAGCAAAATTCGGCGGAAGACGTTGTCGATGTCAATCTCCAATAGCCTGTAACTGTCGTTGATCTCTTTCTTGAACTCATTACCCAGTTTGATCGCATCCTGGATGTTGTCGACATTGGTATTGATCATTACAGAGTCGGTATCACCGTAAATGACTCGAAGCGCCTTCTCCTCAGCCATTTCCTTGGTCTTTCGCAAAATCTCTCGACCTTTGTATGTGGTGAGCATTGCAAGCGGCCGGGCGTAGAAACGAGACTTGGTGTAACCCAAACATCCGTACATAGAGTTGGCGGTGAGCTTCAGGGCCATTTGCTTGATATCCCAAGTGGCCAGCTGGTCCGGAGTGGCATCCTTGGCCTTCATAAGCTTCTTCACCTCCCGACGCCGAGAGACAAGCGTAGCAATAAGGCGCGGTAAGATACCTTGATCTTGATCTGAAGGAACTTCGGGTACCTTGTCATCATCTTCCGAGATATCAGACCGCTCAACTGTCGTGAAGCAAATGTTGTACTCCTGAATAATACTGGGGTAAAGGGAGTTGAAGTCCATGACCAGGATGAACTTGTCATACAGACCTTTTTCAGGCTCGAAGACGAGACCACCTTTGAACTTGTCCTTCTTCTTGGCGTCTGCACCTTCTTCTCCCTCGGCAGCCTCGTCCTCTACCTTGACTTTGTTCTTGCCCCACTGCTTGTCCGGGCAGATATACTTGTTTCTGTAAAATTCGTGGAGCAAAATGTACTCGTTGCGTTCGGCGCGAGTTCCACTTAGTGTTCGAGCCCAAGAATTACCAGCCAAGTTGGTGAGGACCTTGGAGAGGGGAAGCATCTGCACCTTGATCGCTATGGCAGCGATGAAGTAGGCATCAGCCTGGCAGTGCTTCACATAGTTCAGAAGACCATCTTTTGTTGTTGCCCAAGTCTTCAGAGCGGCCTCGTTGTCGAGCTCTTCACGTTTCTTGTTGAGACCAAGCTGACACATCTCTTCCAGACTCCACGATTGGCACTTAGGCATAAGAGACTTTCCCATGTCATTGGCCAAATCACACAGCAAGCGGCCAGAAGCTAACTGCTTCTCAGCAAAGAAGCTGCCTCCACCTTTACCCATGGTCTTGGGCCAGTCACTCCTCTTGAGGCGCCCAATGCGGTGCCATCCTGGTGTTTTCTTCTCGCGCAGACGATTGAGCAGGACACTGTAATCCACATCATCCAAACGGTGACCAACAAGGACATCGGGGTCGTGCCGTTGGAACATGGCCATCAAAAGACTAAGAAGTTCTTGCTCAGTCTTCTTCAGGTACATGTTGCCCTTAATCTTCTCGACTTCACCCTGAAAGCCAATGGGGAAAGCAGGTCCGTTCGGTCGCATGATGGTGAAGCTTTTGCATTGCATCTGGTCCACGGGCGTGGTGTCGGTCAACGAGAAGCTGTCGTAGATCATAGCGCTGGCCATAAGGATCTCCTGCTTGTTATCCTTGGCATTGAACGTGGTTCGAAGGGAAAGACTCATGAGTGTCATGGGAGGCGCATCGAGGTTGTCCGAAGCACTCAAGACCGTAATGTTGTTGGGTTTGACAACTTGAGCTTCGAGCTTGCACCAGGAAGCATTCGCAACTGGGCCGAAGTCTGGCGCATCAATCTTTAGCCAGCATGGTCCCATGATGTTCTTCCACAGAACGAACTGCTCAAAAAGGGATGTGTTGGTTCCAAAGACGTGTGAGAATGTCTCTCCTGTTAAGTCAGTAGACAGGGGCATCTTATCGTAGCCGTAAAGAAGTTTGAGGTAATCCGCCTCTTTAGGGATGTCAGCCAACTCGAAAGCGTACTTTCTTGTGCATGGTTTGATCTTGTGTAGGTTCACCCGATGCTTGCTCATAATCGAATCCACCTCGTCTGAAACGTCACTCAGCCCAACCTCTTCATCAGTAGTCACCCCTCTGACTTGACGGTATTCCCGAGGCAAGAAATACAGCTTTCGTAGGATGTTGTCGACTTTCAGGAAGCAACTGACATAGTTGCCTGACTTGCGGTCTTTGACTTTGCCGAACAAGCACAAGCTGCCATTCAACTCAGTGTAGTCAATCCAGAACATGCGCAAGCTACCATCATCTTCTAGAGCATCCTGTGGCTGCAATTTGCCGGCTCCTGCAGTCTGTGGAGCAGGACTGCTCATAACATTGAGGTTACTTGTGACGTCATTCCAAGAAGAAGCATCGATGTTCGTTGCAGAAGGCTTAGCAGGCGAAGAGCCAGCAGGAGTAGGAATGTCTTCCTGCTTGATCTTTGCTATCGGCCGCCGGCCGGCCATGTTGACACTGGCAACAGGGGCACCAAGCTGACCTGTAGGCTCGGAGATCTCCATGAGATCTTCTTCTTCTTCCTCGATCTTGACCCCAGGCTGCGTTCTCCGCTCGACAGCCTTTGCGACGGGGGATGATTGCAGTGGAGGGTCGCTCATAGGAATGTCATCGTCGAATATTGGAAGGCCGTCATCATCTGCCTCTGCAGCCTCTGCTGGCGATGTACCCGGTATGTGACTGTCCGAGTCATTCGTCCGTCGCTTCGTCGCTGCTGGGCGACTCTCAGATATCGGAGGTGACAATACGCGAGTTTTGCGCCTTGCTTCGGTTTTGATGGGTCGTGTTCGGATCGTAGAGGTAAGGGTAGGGTTCGTATCTATTTCACCCAGCAGATCATCCATAAAGTCTTTGTCTGCGGCAGTAGCAACAGGCTGGGGATGTCAGTCCTCGAAAAGGTATACAATGTACATGGGTGTTTTACCTTGGATTTTGGTGCCATGGCAGCATTCTTTGCGCTGAAGTACTTGCTGATGCCATTGTCAATCTTCTTCCGCTTTTCTTCATCCTCTTCACGTTTACGCTTGGCTACTGCGTGTTAGTTCTGCAAGAAAGCCGGCGTGTGTCAAAGTATACCTGCTTTCCCCTTGGCGGGTCGGTCGTCTTCTCCCTCGCTCTCAGTCCCAGCATAGCGGTATCGACCCTGATCATCGTCCCACTCTTCTCTGCCGTCATCGACATATCCCTCGCCCTCGTCGCCAACCACAAAGTCGTCCTCATCCAATCTACCCCGAACAATCTTCTTGTACCCCTCTTCGTCGACCTCGTCGTATAATTGCTCTTCTTCGGCAACCTCATATGTGGACATGCGCGTCTTGCCAGCGGCACGATTGGCCCGCAATTCTGCCAAGAGGGCAGCGCCCGTCTTCTTGGCTGCTCGCGGCATGATATATTACAACGATTAAGTACGTGAGTAAACAAGCGAAGAGAAGGAATTGGGTATGGGATGGGTTTGCGGGCGTGTTTGAATGGCGGGACAACAGGTAGAGCGCAGGAGCGACGCGCTAACGGCCACCGTGCACGCGACGCGACTGCCCATTAACTGTGCCAAGCCACTATTCCAATTTGTTCATTCTATTACTTCCCCCTCCATCAACCGTCTCAAGCGCACACGCACACGTCGCAATGGCTTCAGTATCGAAAGCTCCTCTGGTCTGGATAGACTGTGAGGTATGCTTACGATGAGATTTTCGAATCATTTTTATTGACTCCGCTAGATGACCGGTCTGGACACAGACAATGACACCATCATGTCATTTGCCGCATTTGTCACTGATACGGACCTTAATATCTTGGATGACACAGGCTTTGAAGCAATCATTCATCACGACAAGGAGCAGCTTGACCGTATGGGAGAATGGTGTACCAGCCATCACGGGGATTCAGGGCTGACGCAGGCCTGCATTGACTCTACCACCACTGCGGAAGAAGCTGCTGAGGGTCTACTCAGCTACATCAAGAAATATGTACCTGAGCGTCGGACAGCTCTCCTCGCGGGAAACTCTGTGCATGCCGATAAGAGTTTTCTTGTTAAGCAGCCGTATCACATTATAGTCAATCACCTCCACTACCGAATTCTGGATGTTAGTAGCATCAAGGAAGCTGCACGCAGATGGGCCCCGAAAGAGACACTGGCGAAGATTCCAAGAAAAAAGATGCTGCATGAAGCTCGACAAGATATTTTGGAAAGCATTGAAGAAGCAAGATATTATCGAGAGGCATTCTTCTTGAGACCTCAAAGTACGACAGACGCACCAAAGAACTAGGGGGGTATATCAAATGAATTGATGTTACTCGGAGATGGTGCTTTTCTTGGGACGAGATACAGGGTACCTATTTATCGCCTTACCGTATTCCATAAGCATTGATTCGAGTTGGTCAATCTGACATGTTCTCACGTCAGTCACTTCAATATCTGATCAGACTATAGCTACGTGTCAATCACCTTAAACAGTTGTCTAGCAGTTGGTCACTGTTTATACACCAGTCAGCCAAGATACAACATATAATCACACAATACTCGTAACCCCTGAATAGCTGTTAGCTGATCGGGGCTCGCTCAACTTCTCAATTTACCGTTCTTCTCGTTCATTTTGCAGCTTTCACCGCTTTCCAGTTCTACTGCATAAACATGTAAGACAGTGTACCGAAGACGATAAACAAAAATCCCAGGGTCCTAAGAATATAGGTAAGCAGAGTCAGCTCAGACTTGGTGGCTCGCAAGCGAGATGTCCCTAGCAGTGACATGCCCCTCGTAGAAACTCAAAAGCGCACTGATGAACATCAGGCCTGCCTGTCACCCTACCCACCCGTCCAACGCTCAGCGGCTGCATTAAAGTTTACTACAGCGCAACAACAGCAACAACTTAGCGGCGAAACAACCGAATATAGCTCCCTATCCCTTGTTACAATCACACCTGTCTCACTACCGAACAAAGCCATGCGAAACACCCTTAACCTTACCGGTACTATTTCGTTTCCCTCGCAAATCCCTCCAAATCCGACCATTTCCCCGCACAAGCAAAGCATGACCACATGTTTCCAAGCACAAGAAACATCCAGCAAATCGAAATGCATACACATATATACATAAAGTGGATTGTGCCATCCCTCGGGTGGAGATGCCCCGCCATACACTAGCGCAAGCGAGACGGGCAAAAGGGCAAAGTATCTCCGCAATGCAACCATCAGTCGCAAAACAATCAACGAAGTATTCAAACAGTGCAACATGCAACGATGTAACAAATCCCCAATGCAGGACCATACAAGAGAAGAATCTCAGCTGAGCCGCACTCGCACGGCCCGCAACATTCTCAGGGTCGGTAGTAATGCCGCAATACCACGCAACTTGTCCATACCCTCGGAGAATTCCCCCAGTGATAAGCGGCGGGGCCTAGTTATCCCTTGCCAACCTCGCTCCCGTCGCAGCCTTCCTAGCGGTGGAATTGCAACAAGTGGGACATGGGTGGCACTACAAGAGCGGAAAAAGAGTTTAAGTAAAAAAAGCTTAGCACACTCGCTGGGTGCGTTTCAGACCTAGAGTGATTCTCCGGTGGGTAACCGATGTAAGCAGGAGGGGACCGTGTGGAGGTTAGGTATGGGTGTGTGGCGGCCGATGGTTAATATACGTGACTAGGTCGATACCAGACCGTCGGTCATTTGCACGGAAGAATTGGAGAGACGATGGGCGGGAAGCGGTGGCGCTACGTCCATCCTTGCGCTGTTTCACAGGTACAGTATATATTAGATGAGAGGGGGTGTTGAGGTGCACGTATGGATATGTATATATAAAACGACCCCGTTCCCGTAGTAGCACGCAGCCGTTTTTTTTTCCTTGGGTAGCCTTCGACTGTACATACCTGAGGGTTCTGAAGAGAAAGAGAAAAACAATCAAGGAAGGGATATTAGTAGAAAAGGAAGAAAAAGGGAAAAAATGTACACACCAACTCTCATCTCCACCCTCGCGCTCGTCGCAACCGTCGCAGCCGCTCCAAGCAACACGCTCGACAGTCTCGCCCCAACTGCGTATTTCGCCGGCGACTCGACAATGGCGAACGGAAACAACGTCATAACCGGTACGTCTTTTCCTCTCCCTTCCTCCATCCCATAACATATCCCTAACCCCAAGACAAATAGGCTGGGGCGCCTTCACATCCTACAGCCTAACCATCCCCTCTGTCAACAAAGCCATCGGCGGCCGCTCCTCCCGTTCCTACACCGTCGAAGGCCGCTTCGACGAAATCGCCAACCTGCTCAAACCCGGCGACATCGTAACCATGGAATTCGGGCACAACGACGGCGGGGGTCTCGGCAGCTCCGACAACGGGCGCTCCGTATGCCCGGGTACCGGAAACGAAATCTGCAATTCCACCTACAACGGCCAAAAAGTCCAGGTGCGAACGTACAATTGGTACTTGACGGAGGCGGGCAAGAAGTTTATTGCAAAGGGAGCCAAGGTAATTGTAAGTTCGCAGACGCCGAATAATCCGTGGGAGACGGGTAGCTTTCAGTATACGGATGGAGGACGGTTTGTGGGGTATGCGAGGGATGTGGCAAAGGCGTTGGGGAGCAATGCCATGTTTGTGGATCATGGAAAGTATACGGCGAATATGTACAAGGGGCTCGGCAAGGCGGGCACGGATGCGTTGTTTGTGGCTGGAGACCATACGCATACGAATGCAAAGGGTGCGGATGCTGTGGCCAAGGCGTTCTTCAAGGCGGTGCAGTGTGCTGGGGGAGGCTTCTTCCAGGGTTCCATTAGGAATGCTACGGCTTCGATCCCGGGGACTTGCTTGTAAATTCCTTATGTAGGAAGGGAGACGGAGGAAGGGAGGGTTTCGGTGTATATACTTTGATCGGGTGGTTTATACGATGCTGGCTGTAGTTTCTCCTACAGCTAGAAATGCCACTCTGTATGATGAACAATTAGCAAGGCTCTAAAGACATGTCTGCGTGTTGGAAATTGTACATACCATACGGTCCGCATGTCCGCCTTGTTGCTGGTGCCAATCTTCGTAGTATAGTGCATGGGTTGCTAGTTCAAGTTTGATCTACTTGTAAGTACCAAAGCCATGTATATCATCCCTATAACGTGCGGGATCAGTAAGCTGGGCAGATCAGTAAGCTGGGCACCCCACCAAGCTTGACGCGACTCTCTGTGCAATTGAGCCACAATAACGTAATAAAATAAAATAAAATTAAGAGGTATAATTCTTTAGATAGCTCTGCATGAAGTCCGAGTATGCCCTTGAATGTGGCACTTTGTACACGTCGGCGGCGCGCGCTGACGTCGCTCACCAGCCTGGCTCTGGCTGGCCTCCATGACCATCCTCTCTGCCTCTACAGCAAGCTGCTGAGCCCGCTGTACCTGGAGTACCCCACCAGAAGCAATATATTGACGCTGCTGACTCTGCTTTTGCCGTTGACGCTGGACTTCTGCACGTAGCTTCTTATTCTCCTCTATAAGTATTGTCGCTGATTGCATTGCAAGCTGAGCGCTTTTAGCAAGCTGGCGTATCGCAACGCTTGTTGGGCTCTCGGATTTCCGGCGTAGCCGCTCTTGGAGATAGCGTACCTGCTGCTGAAGCTCTGCTACTGTATGTGGCGTCTCTGTCTGCGCAGCGGCGTTATTGTCTGTGGTTATCTGTAGCGGAGACGGTGTTCTAGCTACGGTGAGCGACGATAGTACGCGATCTGGATAAGGAGGGACAAGCCCTGTTGCTTGAAAGCCTGCCTGGATGTTCTGCTGTATAAAAACTATCGGCCGGATCCGTGTATAGGCTGTAAGGAAGTCTATCTTATCAACATAGTAGACCCTATAGCGGGCGAGCTCCTTAACCTCGCGTCCGTATGCGCGCTTAAGAGGAGAGTAGCAGCTTACATCTAGAGGCTGGAGGAGGTGCGACGTATGAGGCGGCATACAGAGAGTGATAATCTTGTTCTTAGCGCAGTACTGATCAAACTCTGGCGTGGCGTGGCTACTGTGGCCGTCTAGAATAAGCAGCCGATAGACTCCAGCTGTACGAGCAGCTGTATGCTAATTGAAGTGCTTCACCCACTCTACACCAAGCTGATCAGTCGTCCAGCCATTGTCTGATACTGCGACAGTCCAGTCTTGTGGGAGGTCGCGGTACCAGCTACTCTGGTGGACCTTACCAGATAGTATCATGAACGGTAGAAGACACCAGCCAGACGCGTTGACGCACTCGATAGCTGTTACCCACTCGCGATTGCCTGGCTGTACAACGACTGCTCTACCAACTCTATCAGAGCTAGTCACGACTTTTGACGTGCTAGCAACGCCCATCGCGAATCCAGTCTTATTAAAGTTATAGATGTCTTGATCTAGAACGCCGTACGTCTGGCGCGTCTCCTCTACTAGCTTAAACTAGGCTATAATCGCGATAGGATCCTCATAGGAGGCACGCTAACTATGTAATCGTCTAGTCCATTTTATCTGAAGCTCTGGCTGGCTCTGGATAAAGCGCGACACCTATTTCTTGCCAATAGGTGCTAGAGGTAGATCTTAGCCGCGCGCAGCGAGTAGAGCGTCTGCTATCCGTCGTACGTCAATAATATGGGGCGGAAAACCACGTCGGTCAAGGTCTAGAATTCACTGTATAAGAGACTGTTCTTTAATAGGTGATAGCTTGCGGTTGACAGAGGCTGTTTCTGATCGTGGTTGGATACCATGGATGCGTGTGTGTAGTGTAGATTGTGGTACATCAAAAGCTTTTGCGAGAGCACGAATAGATTGTTTTGGATTATTACGATAAGACGCGATAG